TCACAAATACTTTTGACCAAGAATAAGAGAACTGATGAAGAAGTGTTATGAAGTCTGTAAAGTCTGCCAGAATTTAAGAAGAGTTCATAAGAAGTTTCAAGAAGAACTATCACTCTTATTAATCTCAAATTACTCTTGAAAATTCATTAGCATAAATATTATTACAGATCTCTCTGTAAGCCTGAATTTTAAGAAGATGCAGTTTGACTGTATTCTGATTATAGTGGACTGGTTCACAAAGATGACTCACTTTATCTCTATAACAAAGAAGCTGATATCAGAGAAATTGGCCCATCTCTTTATTTATAAGATAGTGAGATTGCATGAATTATCTGTAAGCATAGTAACAGATTGAGAATCTCTATTTGTGAGTGAATTTTGAGGTGATTTAACTTATATCTTGAAGATTATAAAAGTAATAAGTATGGCATTCCACCTGCAAACTGATGGTCAGATTGAGAGACTGAATAGTATGCTAAAGCAGTATTCATAAAGCTATATTAATTATAATCAGAATAACTGAATGATGTGGTTGCCAATAGCTAAGTTCATATGCAATAACTCATAACAGACTTTCATACAGAAATCATCTTTCCAGCTGACATATAAGCTGAATCTACAAATAGAATTCTTGAACTCTGATGAGTATAGCTATGTGTGCAAGAATTCAAGAGATCAGGTGGAGACAATGAGATTACTTTATAAAAAGATCAAGAAATTGCTTGCAAAGATACAAGTCTATTAGAAGAAGTACTATAATCAGAAGCACACTATAAAGATCTTTCAGATAAGAGACAAAATGTGACTTAATCTTCACAATATCAAGATCACACAGTCTAACAAAAAACTGGATTTGTTGAGGCATGAGCTTTGTAAAATTATAAAGAAGATAGGCTTGTAAGTCTACAGACTGAAACTGTCTCCAGATCTGCAAACTTATAATATCTTTTATGTATTTCTGCTCAACAAACACAAGATCTGCAAAGAAATCAATAGCTTACCTTATTATAAAGTTTGCAAGACAGACAAGAATGAAAAGAAGTACCAGATCCACAAGATAATTAACTTGAAAAGAGAGAATTGTGAGCTGTGGTACAGAGTACATTAAGAAGAATATAATAATAAGAAGAATAAGACATAGATTTCTGTAAGCAATATCTGTCTACTGAGAAAGCTACTCCAACAATTCTATAGTAGAAATCCAGACAAGCCTGGTTTATAAAAGAGATAGATGGAGATAGTGGAACTAGAAAATAAGTTAGAGAGAGAAAAGATATAGTCAAACTGAACTGAATTCAATTGATTTCAAAACAAAAGAAGAAAAAACTAAATTAAGACTATATAATTAGAGTCTCCAGCTTCTTCTGTAAAGATCTGTAATAACTATTCATAATCTCACTACTAGAAAGAGCAAGCAAGATATTTATAGTATAGACACTTGTTATATTTTTGACCTAAGCCTGCAGAGATGCACTTTGTAAAAACTATATTATTATAGTCTTGCTAAGCTTTCTTGCAGATGGAGCACTTCTGTTCAGATAATGGCTGGGTCCCAGTCTGAGTTATAAGAATTCTCTTACAGAGCTGAGTATACACAGCTAACTAGTTTAGATTATTCAAACCAGTAATAAGTACAGATTTTTAAATAGGCTTGCAACACCATATTCTTTTACAGACAAATAAAGCTTGTGTCTCTGTGTGAGAGAGAATATCTGAGAGAACCACTAGATTAGCTTATAATGCACCAGCAAAAGTAGCAGCTGATGACATTTGAGTGAAGATAATCTGGAACTACTATTATTAGTCTTATAGAAGAGATGCTGAGCAGTCTCAAGCATTCTGCAGAATTATAATACTTACAAATTCTACTGATGCAGGAGGAACAATAATAATAATCTAAAGAAGATTAGCTGCAAACTGAAATATAATAGAGAATACTCATATTTTCAGCTAGAGCTGGAGCAATAATTACAGAGAGAGAAGACAGAGTGATAGAACTCTAACTCCATCAGCATGTAAATTAATATCAGCTTGTGAGAAGCACTTACAGCTTGAGCTAGTATAAAGAGAGTGATGATAACTAGTAAAGAGAGAAGAGAGAGAATAATAATACTCTAGAACTATCAGTTGCAAATATTTTTTAAACTTCTTGCAACTACTTACTGAAGACTTAATCTCATCTGTAAAAAAAAAAATAGAGATTCTCTCAAGAGAGAAAAGCAGAGATAAGTTACAAGAGAGAGAAGAAGAAGACTGCATATCAGCAGTAATTATTAGTAAGCATTAATCTCTCTGTAAATCAAACCCCACACAAAGATAAAATCAAATAGCTATATAAAGCAAAGACACAATCAGAGGTGAACTCACCAGCTTGTGATCTTTCAGTCAATCATGTGAAATATCAAAGTGAAGTTATTTTTCTTCCAGAATATCAGAGACCTTCTGTGAGTCTGTTTTCTATATAAAGTAGTGCTTGAAGAGTTCACTTATCTTTATAAAAATAATATAGACTAGAGAAGAAAGAGAAGAAAAGAAGAGAAAAAGAAAGCAAGAGAAAGCTCTCTCTTAAGCTAGTATTTATTATCTAATAGTAATACAGAGCTAGCAAGAACAATAAAGACTCTCTACACATTATTGTGTTATTGGGTTCTGTTATGTTATTAGAGTTGTATTGATATTACATCTCTAGTAAGACTGTACTCTTTTTCTTATAAGAAAATTTTTATTTTTCTCAAGAGATTTTTTGTTTTTCTACTTATGAAGATTTTTAATGAGACAGTTATCTTGAGAAATCAAGACTTACAAGAGAAGAGAATCTATAAGAATTTGCTGTAAATCTCTTACACAGACAAACAGCATCTGTAAGAGTCAGAGATCTCAGCTTGTGAGCTGCTGGAAGTTGCATGTGTTCTTGCAAGACACTAAGTTATGTGCTCACAAGCACATATAAAAGACTGTCACTGCACAAATTTCTTACTGGAAGTTAGTGATAATCTTGTTTACAAGTTGTATATAGTTGCCAGAATACAGATCTTTTACCTCATGTACTCTTTTTCCCATGTATATTCCTTTTAGAGATTCATTGTCACACTGATCCACATGTACAATCCTCACAATTCTACAACAAAGAATGTCTACTGCAACTGGTAGTGATATACATGTGAGATATTTATATAGACAAGCAGTAGTAATACAGAAGCTTGCACATTCAAGAATCTACAATACTTCATCAATAACAGAGAAGCTGCAACAATATATGAAAAATCACTTCAGTAGCTCTATGTCTCAGAGTTCAAGATCTCTTGGGGGGGGGGGGGGGGGGGGGAGAGATAGTGTTACAAATATAGATCTAGACCAACCAAGCATCAGACAATGTTGAATGTTCAGAGGTATTTACATGACCCCAACTCTGAACATATAAGAATCATATAATTTGCATGGATTGTGGGAACCTCAGTGTTCAGTCTTCTAGTTAGAGGACCTTTATGTTCTATGCATGACTCCCTTCCATCAGTTGCAGGCATTGTACCTACTTAGCTCTTTCTACCCCTAATCCTGGGAAAACCTACATGACCTACAACCGGTTCTCCTAACAATATTATAGACTTTAGCAGCTTCATAAATAGAAGTAATTTCTTGATTTTTAATAGATTTTATTGTGAGTTCAAGTCTTCCCTCTCTCTCAATTAAATTTGAAGAATTTTTATTGTGAATTGGTGGCATAATTGTGTGTTGAAGTGGAAGAGTTCTTTAATTGAGTGGAATTTTGAAATGGTGATCGGTTCGCTTGGGTGATCGGTTCGCTTGGGTGATCGGCTCGCTTGGGAATTATGTTAGTTAGTTAACTAGTCGGATTACCTAAGTTAAGAGAAATGCGATTTTCTTCTCTTCTTCGACTTTTCTTCTTCTCTCCCTTCCAGCTTTTGGCCTCCCGCTTACCCTCGCGTGCCACGATCGGACCCGGGCGATGGGTGTGTACCTCCATCGCGAAGCTACCCGATCAATCGGTTCAATGCCACCGCACCCGAGAGCTCAAGCCTGGAATCGACTTGGATGACGAGAGCCCGGTTGCTCTCTCTCTCTCTCTCTCGCGGAGGATCTCAATTATCCGGTTACTGACAACATGTGAACTTTGAGCAATAGAATCGTGAACCCGTTCTTTGTGACCGTCAGTCTGGTCACTGCGACCGTCTTAGAAGCATCGGCTCCCTGATGAGTATCTGCCGCCAAGGACTTGGTCGAAAATCGGAGGAGCGAATGCTACACGTCAAGGCGCAGTAAGGTGATCCAAGTGATGTTCTGCTGGCTTGTTGGCTTGTCCTTACTCGCCCGTGCAAACGCCTCATCACGCCCTTGCACATCTACATGCACACCCTTCCCGAGCCGGTCAACAACTTCGTGGAAAAAGTGTTACAGAGCGTCAAGAGACTAAGCACAGCGCAAGTGATCTAATGTTGACTTGAGGGACACATCTTTCTTCAAAATCCTGCAGTTTACCCATCCCGCTGCATATGAGCAGCGGAATTCCAGATTGTAACAGCTCGGATGAAGAAGAGACTTTATTTTCTTTCTTTCTTGTCCTTTTCCTTTTTTTTTTTTAATGCCGCAGGTTACCATGCACACATTAACTAGTCCTGTCTTGTCAATCATTCATGGATTGGTTAAGTGCAAGCTCTTTTCTTGGCTTCCTGCCAGATCAATTTTAACCAGCAAGTTTGAGGGGATAAATCCTACTTTGTTTTAACAAGTTCGCCGTGGAATGCATCCCCATAGGAACCCTGGGACATCTTTTCTTTTTCTATTTTTATTTCTTATTTTCTCTCTCTGTTGATGCTGTATCTTAGTATTGACAGCACAATCAGAATCCCCTTTATTGCTTCTTTTTGTTATTGATCAATTTTGTTCCGTACACTCTCATCGATAAGCCAACTGTAAGCTCTACCACTACCCCAAACAAAGTGAAATCTTTGTTTTCCAGCTACCCACCTGTTTATCCACGATCACATGCTCCCATTCCTCCGCCCTTGCTCTTCCAGCTCGGGAGCCGTGGGGATCCGCTGGACTATCTTTCGCGCCCAGCCATCTTGCCCAACAACGGATTCCTCGCCAAGTCGATATTCACCCATCCAAGGAAGAGTCTTGGCCCAGAAGAGCCAGTACAAAGCGCCAAGCGCAAAGATCGCGAGCCCAGCAAGACAATGAGTATAATACGGCAGACGCTCATAGACATTACCCACCCTTCTTGGCGGAGGCAGGAACGGTGCTACGGCCAAATACACATTGGAGAAGAAGAAGAAAAAGGTCACCGGCAAGGTAGCGCGAATACCAGGAGACCAGGTGGGATAGCGCTCAGGACAAAAGTAGATATGAAGAAGCCCACCGGAGACCAGGACATTCACGATCGAAAGTGGATATCCGATGAGACTTTGAAAACTGCATGTCAGGCCAATACAGGCAAGGTTGGTAGAAGGGATAGGCTCACTTGAGCAAGAAGTTATAAGCATCTCCTGGCGGCGGCGCCAGCATGACAACCACAGAGACGATATAGTGCTGGAATAGTCCAGCTGCAGGAGAGTTAAAGGGTTTATTACTCGCCCAGAACCGCGAAAACGGCAGAACTCCCTCTCTTCCAAGTGCTTGGACGACTGGAACATGGTTAGCCATTATCTATGTCCAGATGCATAGGCACGTACTTCGGCCCTGGGAGAACAAAACAGCCAGGACGTTGCCAAACGCGCAAAAAGCAACGAATGTTGATAGCGCTCGTTCGGCCTTGAACCCAAAAACGTTCCGAAAAAAAGATGCCGCGAGGATGCGCCCGGATAGAAGCATCTCTTCCTTTGGGACGGCAGCAAAATATGCAACATTAACAAGGAAATACAGAATCCCAACCATCGCTACGCCAATAGGTGCTGCTATTTTCAACGTTCGAACCGGATTACGAGTCTCACTCAAGCACTGGCCGATGGTTAGCGAAACGATACGCTGTTGCAAAAACGATGCTGAGCACCATACATAATTCGCATTCGAATAGCCAACGTATGACCAGATGACATTGTACAGGCCCATAACTATGCCATACACCGTGGGTGGCCCTTCACCCCAGGGACGTTCGAAGTTACGAGGCCTGTCTATATTCACAAAGCCGGCACAAGCCAAGAGCCCGCCAACGGCAATGATAAGAATGACAACCAATTTCAAGACACCCAGTGTGTTTTGAATACGGAGCCCCCATTTCACTGCGGTAGCGTGGATAATGAAGGCGACGGTGATGCAGACTAACCCGATGCCGCGTTGATTCCACAGATTGACCTGTACCCCAAAAGCATGAAGAAGGTATTCTCCAAATATAACGCTATTTCCTGCCGCCCAACCCAGGAACAGCGCATATGAAGCGTATATCGCGGTTGCTAGGAACTTTGGTTTTGTATACACATACTCCAGGTAATTCTTTTCCCCACCGTTCCTGTCAGTGGTCCCTCAAGTCAGATATGTCGATGACAGGTTACAAATAAGAAAGGGGACCGGACCGCCTCCTCCACTTACACTGGAATTGCCGTTCCAAACTCCAAATATACAGCCGTACCCGCCATGGTGATGATCATTCCAACGAACCAAACGGTCAACGACATGCCAACGCTCCCAGTCAAAGCCAGGATAGTGCTCGGGGTAGCAAATATCCCCGTCCCAATTATCCTATTAAACACCAAGAAGGTCGCAGTGAACACTCCGATCTGCCTTCGATTGCCCGGAATATCATCGGACACGCACGTCCTCGCCGTGTCTATGGGTTTCCCCCCAACAAAAAAGGATCAGCAACGTTCCCATCGTCAGAGGACCTGATTACCAAAAAGCTCTCAATTCTACTGGTCGTCAGTGCATACATACCCAATTTCTCCAGAGCATGAGGACTTATCTCCTGGGACAACTGGCTCTTTCCAATCCGATTGGATGGGATATCCGCGGAGGCTAGAGTAGACACGTCGCTCCCGTTCCCGGGAGAGGAGATAGGCTCGATATCAGCGTTCTCAACATGCGCCATAGGGGGAGGTTCCAAAGGAGGGACTCGTCAGATGCTGTTTAGCTTTTGATTGATTCTATATATTCATCGTGCGATCGGCAAGCAAGAAAAAGGGAAGACAAGAAAATGTTTTTGGGCACCAATTGGGATAGAACCACACACGGCAAGAGGTGTAGAGGATGCAACTCCCATTTTTGACACGGCCTATCCAGGAAGGAACAGCGGCAGAAGGAAAGGCGCCTCCAGAAGCCGGTTTTGCGCGGGAAAGATCGCCGCGAGGGACGAACCGATATCTCTGGCGAAGGTCAGAGACAGAGCAGCCTTCAAGAGATATATATACGGCAGTGCATTCTCCCATACAATCAAATTTCCATAAGAGCAGGGAAAGCCAAGGATCATAGTAAGAATAATAATAATATAATGATGTTCATAAATATATAATGTCTTAGCTGCTCGAGGCAGACTCCAATCCCACTTAGCAAAGCATAGATGCAAAAATCACACAGATCCATATCGCCCGCCCATCAGTCATAGAATAGATTTGATCAACACTCGAAGCCAGGGCTGCCAGCCATCCCAAACAGCACCTGTATATCTCTCCCATCCTCATACTCCCAGTGAAGTTTCCCGCCCATAGACTTCCACAGCATGCCGACCAAATCCAGCCTATCTCGCCGAAACCGGAAATCAGAATCGTCGTTAACATAAAAACACAAAGGTAGCTCTCAGGTTCCAAGCAGATCAACACCGACTGCGAAGACGACAGTAGAGTCGAAAGGATAAAAGAGGCTGAAAAAAAGAAGAAGATAAAATAAAATAGAAAGAAAGAAAGAAAGAGAGAAAGAACCATAAAATGCTAGGTTCACACTTTCAAAAACACTTCAATGTTCTTCCTTCCCAGAGCTCATTGCTAAACTCCTCAAAGGCCCCCAATTCTGTAAACTCCAAGTCCCAGAAATAGTTGAAAGATGATAAAATGCGAGCAATTGCCTCCAGGTTCACTTTAGACCCTCTTTGTTTTGAAAACTCACAGGAGGAAAAGAGTGCACACCAAACGCCAAATGAAGTTGTAATCCAAAAGGAATGCAATCAGTCTTCCGTTAAGAGGTGCAGTCATTGTGTCATGCCACAGTATATGCAGCATAGAAATCGAATCAAAAGAATCTCAGCACAGCTCCATCTGTGCCGTTTTGAGATAAAGCGGTCATGCTGATGGATGCCCAATGCGAAATAGAGGAGAGGGCTGGCTCGAACCCTGAAAAAAAAAAATCACAAACGTGCAGGAGAGGAGGCATTAGACTCTCAATCAAGCACCACTCAGTAGGCTGTTTTGTTCGACGCTTGCCCAGTATTTTCAAATGCAGTATTGTACGGGATCCAATAGTCACAAACTTCATGGCGAGAGGACTATCGGAATTCAGGTGAAAATAGGCGAAACCTTCGGAGCCGTAAAGTGGCGGTATAAGTATCTTTGGATATTCACTTGGGAAAGGGCCACAGAATGGAGCAGCCAACTCTCTACCGATTAAAGATCTTACACCCCCACGAGGCTGCAAAGCAACTCTCTTATTTAGCAGCGCTTGTTTAGCGTGCTTTTACCGAGACGATGGTTGAGGTACAACTGGTGACGCCACTGGGGGTTGACAGGCTGGAGTTCTCGCAGGAGATACCATAGCAGGAGCCGAGGTCCTCTTCGTCATCAGCGCAATTTTCTTTTTCAGCGCTGTGAGCCTAATGCGTATGCTAGAAACCACTTTAGATTTGTTAGTAAAAACAATACTTCATGTATGCATGCAAATTCCAAGGACACATACGTTTTACCACAATCTCCCGGTCTTCGCCTTGAAGACCATTAACTTCTCCGTTCTCTTCCTTCGATACCGTATTCGCGGCTTCGCCCGCGCGCTCGCCACTTAATTGAGGATCCTCGTCGCTTTCCAACACGGCCTCAAGCATCCTTATCGCTGTCATGTATGCAATTTCACAGCCCGGAAGGTCCTCCCCAGTAAGTTCGTTAATGGCAGCTGTTCTGGACATCTCGAGCGCCCTGTCGTACATTAACTTTTCCGCAGTGATGCCCGAACTGATAACAACTTGATCAGAGGAATGAGCAAGAGCACCGACGGACACCCGTCCAACCTGACTGGCATGGTGTGCATGATCGTAGGGAAGCTGTCTCTGAGCATCCAACAGCTTGAGCCGGGAATATTCGGCTTTTTGGAGTACTTCATTGAACCGGTTTCGGACCCATTGCACCACGTTATTTACGCGGCACCCAACATTGACATTTGGTGAGTTTCCTATGGTCTCCCCACGGTTTTTGCGAGCCCACCAGGCTCCAGCAATATCCATCGACTTAGCCAGCAACGAGAGAGCTTTCACGTAGAGTACAAGAGCTTCTTCCGATAGTGTGAAAATTGCGTCTACTGTTAAGCCGGTATCGTTCGCTTCAGGTGTGTCCACTGCTTCCGGGCTAACCACTGGTTTGATAGCAGTGTCCGCTTGCATAGAAGGTGTCAGAGGAGCCAGTTGTTTGTACTTCACTTCGGCAAATCCATAGACCACATCGCTGCGGGTGGCAATCTCCTCAATGATGTGTAAGACCTTGGTATCCTCATCCAGCGGAGGTTGAATTTTAGCTCCATCTCCGACAACGGCAAGGTTCCCTTCAGCAAGGGGGTAGGCTGGAAACGCATTGTAGCCTATGGGTGGAGACCTTCCAGCTTTGGTTAACGCAAGAGGAGGCGAGAAGCTGACACCAAAAAGTCGTCCGCTGGCCTTGTTGAGCGCCTTGGATATAGCCGAAGTTGCAGATGTTGGGCTGGGGCCATATCTTCGGTCATAGGAATTATGACGATTGTGAGTAGATCCTGTACGTGGTCGATTGTAAGCGGTGGCCACTGCCCGGGACATAGCGTCACGAGGAGAGCTAGATAATTGAGGAGTGGCAGTAGTTGTGGCACGACGAATAATTGCTCCAGCTTGCTTCGTTATCAGTTGTTGGTGCTGCTGCTGGAAACGGGGGCTTGCAGCCAGCTCGTCGGCGAAGGCATTAACCTCTACTGCTCGTTTCTCCACCACCACATAGTCCCGTTCAAATGCCACATCCTGTGCTGCGCGCTCTCTTTCTGAGTCCAAAATGTCGTCAATCCGCTGATCAGACGAGTTTTTCCTGCTTGTGGCCCTCTCTTTAGCTGGGCTAGGAGGCCCTGGCTGCTCCGTAACGGGTCCCTTTGCATTGTGGTCGCGAAGTTCCTCCTTGCTCGGGGAACCAGTCACTGAGGCAACACTGGCTTTCCGGGCCTTAACTGCCACACGCTGTAAATCAGGATTTTCTCGGCTCCCAACGTGATGCACAGCAGGACTAGTAGCTGGGCGAGTAAAATTGCTTGGGGGCGGTCGAGGAGAAGAAGCGCTGCTAGCGGGGCGATCTTCTAGTTTTCCGTCGCTGGTACGCGAGGGCAAAGGATCTCGCCGGGCAGCGTGCGCAGCGTGACGAGAATCTCTCTCCCTCTGCGCCTGCAGATCTTCGTCGACAAGCCCCGGAATATTACCCTTAACCACGGATGACTCGAAGAAGTCCTTGAAGCTGAGACGCTCCACCGGGTTCCGTTTCAGCAGGCTCCGGATCAGTTTCTTTAACGGGGGGGAGGCTTCAGTTTGAATTGGGAATCTGATGTTGTCCTCTCCCTGTTCAATCTTCCGAAGCAAGTCGACATGGTTACCGGCTCTAAACGGAGACTTTCCTACCACCATTTCAAACAAGACCGTCCCAACGGACCAGAGGTCGGCCTTCGCATCGTACTTTTCGTATCTCAGAATCTCAGGAGCCATGTAGAGCGGGGAACCACAGAGGGTTTCGGCAAGAGACGTGGCGGGCAATGACCGAGCGAATCCAAAATCGGCAATCTTCAGCATCGGCAGCGACTCTACTCCTACCAACGGGGTGAAGGAATCTTCCCTAGTCTTGTAAGGAACTATTCTAAGTAGACCTTTTGCATACGTGCTCGGCGGTGGATTAAGAAGGAGGTTCTGGGGCTTTAGATCACGATGGATAAGATCTTTGGTACGGAGAAACTGCAGGGCGCTGGCAAGTTGCTTTAAGAAATGACGAACGATCACCTCGTTTAAGCCCCCCGCGGGAGGATTAGGGTATTTGGCTATCATGTCCCTTGTAAGTTCATGCTTGCTCAACGTATCGCGCTTCCGGATGAAGAGGGAGAGGTCCCCGAGAGCGCAGTATTCCATGACCAGGTGGATGCATGATGTTGACTCGTCGCAATCTATAAGCGCAACGATGTGAGGATGCTGAAGGCCCTTTAAAATCTCAATCTCCAGTTTCAAGTTGTCCTTCAGCTTCGGATTGAGCGAGCTTATATTTACTGCTTTGATCGCCACACAGGACCGATATTTCTAAGGTGGACACTGTCAGCAGACAAGATACCCAAAAGTTCCATAGACAAGATAAAACCAAACACGTCATATACAAAGCCCCCCCTTTCTCTTTCCCCCCAAGTAACGCATCGTATATTCAAAGACTAGCACCAAGTGAAGCCGGAAGGATGAGGGCACTCACGTTATGGATACCCTGGTAGACAGTTGCAAAGCTGCCACGCCCTATCTCCTCTATCTTGGTATACTTGCCAAGGATCACGTCCCTCGTGTCTCCATCTCCATCCCCTTTCGATCGTCTCGAGCTCGTCTTTGGTGACTGAAGGGCGGCCATCGTCACGGCCAGGTCCTTGATGCGGTGTCTATGAACCCAACAACCCCTGTTACGCCTGCGGCTACGGCACTGGTCGTAGTGTCCCGATGCACGGGCCCATCAGGGGCGAGCGGATACGTTTTGATGGGAGATGGGTAAAACGATGTCGAAGCTATATTCGTGGGCCAGGCGGGATGGGAAAAACAATGGGTGGAGGTGGCCGTATAACTGATGCCAGGCAGCAGAGACGTTAGCGACAGACAGCAAGATGCGGTGTGCCTTCCCTGAGAACAAACAGCCCACCCATGGAAGCTTCCATGAGCTGTGGTTGATCGCTGACGCAAGGAGAATCGTCGGGCAGCACGAGATAAGATGGGAGATGGAGAGAAAACAACCTCAAACAAGGATGTAAAAAAGCATCAAGAAATGATAGAGGGCCTTCTAAGGATGATAGATGACTGGCACATACCAAGAAATCAAGCAGTTCAGGAACGGGTGGTGGTGGAACTCCCAAGGTACGGCGATGATGTATGGCGGATACAATACAATACAGAGATGGGAGCAGGATGATAAGCAGCAGATGAACAACGTGATACAGATCAGATAGATTAGATACCGCCCAGGAGAGTTAGTTGGGTTTAAAAAAAAACGTAGACGTTATGTATATATGTGAGAGTTAAAAAAAATACACACATACACATATATAAATATATATACGGAGATAAATTTGTCAGGGCGACAACGGGTGTTGTTGGAGGATGTAGAAATGCAGAGGTTAATGACTAGACTAACATGCGATGGGCAGAACGAAGGTTGGGGGGAATTCACTGCATGACCTCAATCAGGGATTCATATGTACCGGTACCTTGTTAACTCATAATCCTCACCTCAGACCAAAGTACATGGGGAACCACCAGCCCGCCGCCGCCTCTGATTGGGGAAGTCAGAAGAACAAGATGTACATGGGTCGAAAGGCAGGCTTACATGTCTACGTGTGACAGGTCAACGGGCGGGAGAGCATTCCCCGGCCAAGATGCGAGCCGGATTGCTGTGTTGCTCCTGGCAGAAGAGCAACAGCCGCCTGGGTAGGTTTAAGCCCCAAGGCAGCGCGCAGAGGGCGAGAGGTACCGGTACATTTGTCGGTGCATGGGCCCAGGCCGCTTCGGGTTTAGTGGCTGCCGAAACCGCTGGGGGACTGGCCACGGTGGCTTGGCACGCTAGCACCCACCTCCCCGTGACTCAATCCTCCGTCGCCGCCCAAGTACCGGTACTTCGCTGCCCGCGCGAATCAGCGCACCGGGCGAGGTAGCTAACGACTTCTGTACTCCGTGGGGGACTTTGTACCTCCTCGCAGCAGCACGCCATCCCCCATCGGGAATCGTCACCAGGGGTTCCACAGCACACCGCGCCGTCCGCTTCGTCCATCCACCGTCTGCAACGGTTTCGCCATTCCCCAGTCGACAGCCGGCTGATGTGCGCTGTTTCATGCCTGGGTGATCTGTCTGTTCCACCTCCAGGAAAATGCGCTTGGGTGTCGTCACCCGGTTGTACTGTCACCCGCGACGCCCTCACCGCCCAGACCGGTCTCGAAGCCACGCATGGCAGAGCGCCTCACCGTCCAAAATTTAATTTAAAAAAAATAAAAATAAAAATAAAATATAAAAATTCAAGGGAAAGGAATATAGGGTGCACAACAACGGTCCAACAACTGCAGATGCTGGATTCCGTTAACCGTCCATCCAGCACGTCTACAGAAATAAAACTGCTCTCGAATAACCGCTGGGTCGAGGAGCCTGAGCCGAAAATTACCGGGACGATAGCCACTCCACACCCTGAAAACACCACGCCCGCCGACCGAATTTATATCGCCATCATACTCCCAAGTTGGTGTGATCCAAGTCTCACGGCTCTACGAGGGAGTACTCTCTGTCTGGGATCCGGATATCGGCCTACAGACCCAGGCATCGCAGGGATCCGGCCCATCTCACTAATGCTCCGTACGGCCCAACGACTTCCTGTCAGGCATCATTGATTTCGGCATCAAAGTGAAGTTACTCTATTCTGGTAAACTGGGCACTGGTTCCGGAGCCGCCATGGCTGCCTTTCGTCACTCAACGGTGTTTTCTTTGGAGGATAAAAGAGGCTGATCTGTAATCCATAGCCATCGAATGTAGGTAACCAACACAAGCTCCACGTCCCCGATAAAACACAACAAGTCTATCATCTTTTAAAAAATGTACTGACCAGGAAGACTTCATCCTACCATAATCATCATATTCTCATCCCCCGTACAAGCAGCCACAGCACCAGCGGGACAACAACATTATCATTCCCACCCGTCAGCACAGCCTCCGTAAAACTTGACCCGGCCGCCGCCAGCATCGCCTTAACCAGCGTATCCAGCGCCGATATCTCGGGCAACCAGCCCCCGACGACCAGCCAAACCCTCGCCGCAACGATACCGACAAAGACAGCTACGGCGAACGCAAAGCTGCCTTCCAGGCTTTTGTCTCCTCCCCAAAACCACTTTTTCCGTCCATACCTCCGGCCAACCAACGATGCTGCTGCGTCGCCCATCCCCACACATATCACGCCGCTGACCATGCTGATATCTCGCTCTTCGATCTCCCAACCAACCCACGGCCAGTCTCCCCCGTGTCGTGCCCCGGCAAGGGTGAGCCAGAGCGGTATACCGCAGCCAATCAGAAGAAAAATGTGCGAGATGATCACAGGACCGCGGTAGTCCCTCCCGTCGATGTACGGGGCAAGAAAGCACGTAATCGGCTTAGAAATAGGCGGGACCTGCGATGCTCTAAAGAGCTCCAGAAGCAAGAAGATGGCAAGGATCAGCGTCATGGCCAGTGCAGTGAACGCCGGATCCACGAAGGTCGTAGGGAAAAACATGGCCACCATCATGCCGTGGAAGATCTTGCGCCGGGTGTCTACCTCGACGATGGTGCTCAGTCGGATTACCAGCGCCATGCCCACGACGAGAACGAGCATGCAGTAAGCGCAGATGACGAGCCGGGTGTTGGCTTCACCAAAGGTATCGCGTCGGAGATGCTCAATCCATCCCAATCGGCAGAATTCAGCGGCCTTGTCAGACCAAGGGGGTAAACTTGCCCAACCGTCGAAACCGGACATCACAAGCCAAAATCTGAGCGAAGGGATATTTCCAAACAGGTAACCAACAGCCCATCCAAAGGGCTCCTGGCCTTGGAGGGCGTTTTGACTAATATACGATCGGACCGGGACCAGGATTATAAGTAGGATAATGAGATACACGAACATGGCGTACGCCCATTTTCGAACTCTGGCTTGGACCAAGGTCAATGACAAGAACGGCCGAAGGGTAGGAGGCAAGGATCGCTTCCGGCGGCCGCTGGGTGTAGTTCTGGCATCGCCCACCGTAGAAAACGTATGTCGTCGTCGTCGGTGGCTGCACAAACCGCTAGTCCCGTCGAAAGAAGGCTCATGAACGTCAATCGTGTCCACGACAGAAAACGATTGTTGGCGTTTCGACCTAGGCGGTGTCCATCGTACTTCATGCCCAAGTCGAGCATTCGCAGAAACAAACCATCCGTCAGCATCGTCAGACTGAGACTGGTATCCGTCTTTCAAAGAATCATATACTTTGTCACAGACTTGACGGTCAATCGAATTCCAACGCCCCTCCGATTGGCTTTGGCTGAGTGACGGTCTTCGAAACTTCCATGAAGGGATTCTCGCCAATACAATCTCCCAGAAGAGGACATCCTTGCATGATATATATACACTCAGCCCGCCAAGCCACAGAAGTGCCTTGAAAATCTCAGCCTGGGGTGATTCGGCGAATAGGAGGATATTTATCAACCCAGTAGCCAGAAGAGGAATTTCAGCTGGCAATAGGCTAGTCGTGACAAGGGACTGTAGAACGGAAGCCACAGCCTGATGAAGCGGAAAAAGCAGAACCAGTATTTCCGGGTTTATGTTGAGCAAAGTCAGGACCTTGGGTGGATTTTCTCCCTTAAATGAGAATTCAGCCACAATCGATGGGACAATCGTGATGGCCCAGTGAGTAAGGCTGTATCCATGGGCCATATAATGAAGAGGGACAACATATGGTGGTAGAGAAGATATGCAGAGTATTATATTCGGTAGGAGTAGGGTATGTGCGGTCTTTCCCAGCGATAACGCCACCAGCACGGGCAGATATATGGGGTATATTAACGGAGCGGGATCAAGGTCGCGGGAAAACGGAAAAAAGGCGATTGCTCTTAAAACTGACCAATGCAGCCTGCGAAGGTATATCCGTAGGGGAAGTATAGCGTATAGGGTTGCGGAAAGGATTATATATGCCCATAGCTCTAACACGTTAAGATCAGCGCTGAAATCAAGGCACCTTGTTCTTGAAAGAGTATACCTCTCCTCCAGTCTCGGACGACAGAGCGGACTTCCTGTGGTAAAAGCGCAGCGGCGGCAACTGTAAGAATCCAAACAGTCTCACAAAGCCTTCTTAGAACTTCCACCCTCCACCTTCTCCTACTTCTGCCCCGTTGCCGCAGAGACACCAGCTGGTCCTCCGTCGACTCCGCCGAGCGTTTCCTCCTGCCTCTCCGAATGGCTCTCAATCTGTCCGAAATCTCCGAACCTTCATCCTCATCCGTCCCAACCGTAACCCTCCGCGACGGTGGAGCAGGTAGCCCCTTCAAGACGCCATTCCCTTCGTCGTCCGCGTCCGTCCCGCTATCGCTTGAAGTCCTCCGGCTCTTCACCCATACAGAACTATACTCACTCGACCCAGTCTCCGAGCCGAATTGTTCTATCCGTCGCCGGCGGTACGGGTGCGGAGATCTTGAGAGCCTGCGGAGGGATTGATTCCGGGCGACAATCTGGATATGAGAAGGGTGATGGGCTGCATCTTCGTTGGGGCTGTTGTCGGCGTCGTTGGATGCCATGCGATCTATATGCGGAGATAGGAGAAGGGGACTGCGTAACGGGGGGGGGGGGTTTGTTTTGTGCTATGATGGTCGTACTGGGTGACTCCGGGCTGCCATGCTGAGGAGCATGAGCGAGAGATGGCTTGGAGCTGCGGGCAAGGTGACGTTCCAGTAAACCGGCAGGATATTGTGATAGGAGCACTTTCGAGAGTCTAAAGAAATAGAGAGATAGCCCTTCATTCGATTCAGGCTCGACTGGCAGCTGGAATTTGTATGTTTGTGGCTGTCAGGCGATCAAGCTCCAGATTGGGTTTCACATGCCAGGAGCCTCGAACCACGTCGCCAAAGCGGCGGCCAAGACAAACAGCGGATCTTTCTTCACGCAAGGCTTACATGATTCTTCAGCAGGCTATGGCCAGTCTGTCCTGTTTTATGCTTCCGTGGGTACTTTAATATATCTGTAAGTACATACATATATACACTTTCACACCAATGTGCTATTTGTCGTATTTGTGGCACATCACACACTATTGGGATCCTTGCGAGGATCTCGAATGCAGGACAAGTGCTGCAGAGAGCTCCCTTCCACCACAACCCCAGACAGACCTGCAGGGCACAATTTGCGCTAGCAATTTCACGCACAATGCGGGCAAGGGAGTATATATGGTAGCTTGGTAATGCGTCCCGTCCTTCAAGCGCCTTCTTGCCAAATACATGGCCTGTTCTATGGATTTTTCGACATCTTCAGGTTTCACTTTTTCAATGCCGATGGCAAGATGTGTGCCAAACTCAGCACCCTCAGAATGACTAATGGAGATCCCTTCAGAGCTATCCTCGGTGATATCGACATGGGCAGACCGGACCCCTAGCCCCTGCCATTCAATGTCGCTACCGCGTGGGAGCTCATCGACTTCGACGGCCAGGAATGGCGGTATCTTGGATGAGGGTCCAACGATACCAAAATCAGGGAGCGCCCTGGTGGCTTTTTTGTTGCTGCCGAAATCTTGCTTGCGGCCATATTTGATATCCCACGCGTCCAGCATTGAGTCTTCTTCGTCATCCTCATCTCCCGATGGGCTGCTGCCCGTGTTCATCCTCTCCCAGATATCTGATGCAACGGCGGCTTTTGACGATATGCCAGTATCTTGTGCGATAAAGGCTACAGCGCCCAGCCACCAATTAACGCACATCGCACCCCCTATCCTCCACAGATGCTGTAGAGAAAGGACGGTATGATGAATAAATGACGAAAGCGGATCTGTGAAGGCAACATCTGGCCTCGCCAGCTCCATCGACGCTGGATCCAAGGGTATCTGACCTGCAATATACACCAATCCCCCGTCTTGCTCGAACCCAGATTGCTTGTCCCGCGGCACCCCAACGGCTTGCGAGTAAGGGCCAATATTCGCGGGCGCCCAATATGACCGTGATTGGACGTGCAGGCCTTTCCGGTGGACCGGTGATCCGAGATCTAAAATGAAAGATACGAGGATATCTATCCCTGGTGGGAGCCTATTCCCACAGGCGACAGTTGCCCGTGCTGGAGGGTTGGGCTTTGTGAATAATGATCCGTAGACGGAATTAATGGAAGCGAAATCATCCATAGATCGGAGAAGGATGGTGGTGTAAACGATATCATCTGGGGTGACGGCGCCGAGCTCCTGTTCGTGAGTACGGAGGGCATCCGTTAGCTTTGTCATAATGGATTTCATCTGCGTCGCGGAGTCTTGTCCGGCCTCGGGAGCAGACAGATTAGATATCACCCAGATGTTATCCATCTTTGATTGAAGCGTTTCGACGGCCCAGGTCTTGTCTGCCTCAGGATATGGTAGTTCACGGGATTGTTTTCTCAAGGCGTATTGCCCTGTACTTGCTAGGATCCTTTCATACACCAGCTTGAACCCATCGTCAAACAGTTGCGGAATCCGTAGTTCATTTACACTTCCCATGTCGTCTATTCCCATCTTTTCGACGCAGCTTGCGCTTTTTAGCTTCACAAAGGCAGCGCCTGCCTCTCCCCTCTCCCGTTCCACACCCCGGACCTGAATTCTCTTCTGCCACAGTTCTTTCGGCCCATCCAGGGCCAAACTCTCATACTCCCCCCCTTCACCCAGCACCGCTCCCTCCACTCCCTCCTCCAACAGCATCCCCATCCTCTTCACCAACACCCTTCTTAGCCGACCATCTCCGGCCGAAACATTCTCCCACAGCATCCCCTCATCCATCCCACCGCTCGCAACCTTGATAATCCTCGCCTCACACCCACAAGCAGCCATATCCTCCAGTAACCCGGCAACGGCAGCGACTGGGCGCGCAGGCAGCCCAGCCCGCTGCACCGGCGGCGACAGATACGGATACATCCACAACCAAGCAAGCGGCACCAACCCCAATCTCCCCGCCACATTCTCAATCCTAGTACGCTGGTACGTCGAGAGGATCGCACCCGCCGACACTGCGTTCACCTCCGGATGCGCCCTCATGACATCCTGCAGGAGATAAAGCAAACATTCCGTCTCATCCTCTTCCCCTCCTCCTCTTCCTCCTTCTTCTCCTCCTCCCTCCTGGCGCGACTGCGTCGCGGGAGTTTGATAGTCCCGCGCCGTATTCACCGCCGTGCCCCTGATTTCTCTTCGATAGAGTGGTACATCCAATGCTTCTTGATACAGAGGTATGATACTATATCCGATCGTCTGGTACATGTAGCTATCCATATCTTCTTCCTCCCGTTCCGGCCTATCATCATCATCATCGTCATTATTGTCGTCACCTCTACCTCTCCGCGTCAAGGGCGGATGCAGGTTCGCCAACGCCACCAGCCTATGCCCATTCTTCAGGCAATGTAAGATGGAATAGAGCGAATCCTTCCCGCCCGATATCAATGCCACGACGTTTAGCTGCTGTGGCATGGTGACTGAGATGTGGGGAAACGGGATTTCACGTTTAGATCACCCGGAACGGGGGTGTGGACATCGCAAAGCACAAGTAATACTAAGTAATTAGGTACGTGACTGGAACAACTTGAAATATTGTATGGTATTGTCAAAAAAAAAAAAAAAAAGGAGTTTTCAGGGGGCGGATACCTAATTTTCCAGTCCCCGAGAAGTGGTTTGAGAGTGCAGTCCAGCGGAGTTTGATGCCCGGGAAGTTCCCAAAAATAGCCTGCTGGAAATTGCGTGGGTTGCAAAAAAAAAAAAAAGGGTAAAAAGAAAATAAAGCGGCCAGTCTCGATTCCGCCCACTCCGTTGCTGGAGACGACTTGCGCCTTCATCTCCGAAGACCCAAAAGAAAAGGAAAAAAAAAAAAAAAAAAAAAGGAAAATCAATGGGGGTACTTCGTTACCGTCCGCATGTCTAGAATACCCGCTCATTTCCTCATCTACTCCGTAGATACTCCGTAGTTACAGCCATTCCGGGCCAAGTTGCACGGCATCTCGCCCGGCTCGCGCGTCACACCGAAAGCACAAACAATCCCATCGTCCTACCCTGCACTCCACCCTGCATGTAGCCGTCGAAGCTGCAGGGCGAGAATAAAAGAAAGGTATACGCAACCTATCACAAGCCATTTCACGGTGACGGGTTACATTTTGTGCCAACTATTCTCACTTTGATTCTTTTTTTTTTTTTTTTTTTTTTTTTTTTTTGGTATATCTAGATTTCTAATGACCTGGAGAGACACTCATCGGAAGCTCGAATCTGCTAGTAATAAAAAAGGGTGTTAAACAAGACGTGCAAAGATCGAAGAGTAATAACTAGGCAATAAGGCAAAGAAAAAAAGAGAAAAAGAAAAAAAAAAAAAATTCGGTTGAGAATAAGACAAAGTTGTCGACGAATTGAAGTGAAAGACAAAAAAAAAAAGGGAAAGGAGGCCGTGGCCAGCCACGTAAGAAGGTTCAGGATCAGACAAGCTTGATTGGGAATCAGGCCAGAGAGAAGAGAATAAAGAAAAAGCCAGAAGGGCAGGGCGGATTGGAATATTTTGGTACCAAGGACAAAAGTGATTAAAGGGGAATATTATACAACAGAAGTGAGAAGAAATGAAAGGGGAGTCCACAAAGTGGCAAAATAGTGAGAAGAGCAAAAAAAATAAAGAAGTAGAAAAAAAAAAGTTAATAAAAAGATGAGGAGAGTCATCACAGATGTGAGGATCAATGGCTGGACACAAAAGAAAAGTAATAGATCTACAGGAAAAACGCAACCATTAGCCAATCCAACGCAGATGCCAATAACAGTATCAACGCAAACACAGCAATGACAACGACGAGATTATGATGGAGGAGACAAAAACAATGGCTATTATGATTTGAGTAACTTGCTCCGTCGCTTTATCCCGTTTCCTAGTCCACCCGCCCATCATTCGAGGATGGTGGTGTGTTTCGACTGATCAAAAAAAAAAAGAATAATCCCAAGAACTCCTTTCCTCCAGCCCCTTGTCTATAGTGTAGAATGATGCAGCGTATATTATGACCCTTTCTTTCAAAACAAAGCACCAGTAGAGTTCCTCGAGAGGTAATGCCAAACAGCGCCCAACTCGCAACGGCAGAGTTGGGTCCAAGTAAAACCGATGCTCCAAATGCCCACACCTATGACGCCTGTATATCCCTGTCACGGAAAAAGGGGGGCGGAGAGATGATTTCTTTCATTTCATGAGATGGCCTGGACCAGACAATTGCAAATAGACAGATATAGATATCAGTCTAGGGATCCTAGTAACAGGGAAATATCATACAGAAGATGTGAAAAATCATCCAGACTGCTCCCGCTTGCGCTTCTTGATAGGCCGCTTGCGGTCGGACTCGACGCTTCGGGGAGAAGAGAGACTGCTATCAGACGATTCGCTCGTGGTCGACTGATATGCAGCCGCGCGTGCGGCTTCATAAAGCACAGCTCCCAGTGCACCGGCGTCCTGTTCATACGTTGGAGGTGCGGGTGCAGGGCCCGCCGGGGCCGTAGGAGGCGGAGGGGGCGGGCGAGCTTCCCGCGGCTGTACAACATTCATAAGGACAGAAGTATTTCCATGGGTTCGCGCATGTTGAGCGAGATTGTCGCTGCGAGAGAACTTCTTCCCGCATTCTGTACATTCAAATGGCTTCTCCTCAGTATGAAGTGAACGATAGTGGCGCTTGAGATGTTCCTGGCGTCTGAAGCGACGAGAGCAGAGAGAACACACAAATGTTTTAGAAGGATCGTCTGTCAAGGATTGCTTGCGACCGCGACGGCTGACGGGGACAACTGGGGGATGTGCAGGAGCTCCGGGAGCATTGGCAGAGGGAGGTTTAGGTCCGGAATTCTCTTGGTTGGGGGAACCAGACTGTTGTTGAGGCTGGGTGGCCGATGCATCTCCGTTGGCATTGTCTCCGTTCATGTTACCTTCAGTCTCGTAGAGAATCGCATTGCGCTCGTTGCTCATGGACGACGTCGAGCGTTTCGTTGACTTCCGTGAATTTGAGCGTTTCTTTGCTTTCGTTGGCTCGACCTCGGTCGGGCTTGGCTGTGGCATTTCGGAATCGAGAATGTGCAAATCTGGCTGAGCAAGAAGTTCGTTTTCCTCCAAATCTTCTAGACTTTGTTCGCTGATCAGGTCATCATCATCAGATGGATATAGAGCAATTCGTCGGCGCTTGTCGCCCACGTAGAATGTGTCGTCGGACACGGTGAAATTGACGATTCCGCTCACAAATTCGTCGTCGGAATCAAGGTCCGAAAGACTCTCAAATGAGGGCAAGGAAGGTACTGCGTGCACAGTGTTGATTGGATTGGTGAAGCTGTTGGCTGCGTTACCGTCCGAATTCTCCGAAGCGCCAACTACGCTGAGAAGGAATTTTTCACTGTCTTCGTCTTCGCTGGAGCTGAGGGACGGGAGTGGCGGGAAGTCGGAGCCAGAAAAGACTGATGATTCCACTGTCAATTGACGGGGATCACAGAAATCCGAGCTGCACTGGGGTGGTGGAAGAGAGGCTGATGTTGTCTCATTCAAAGTCAAGGACGTGAGGACCGGGGACGGGGATGGAGAAAGCGAGGGGCAAGAATTGTTTGTGGACACCTGGGAGAAACCCTCCTCGCTGTTGTGGCTAACGGTTTCGCTAGCTGGAGATGCAGACTTGACAGGAGGATGGATGTAAACTAAACATTGCGATAAAGAAAATAGTCAGCGCCCGTCTGACAAGACGTTTTCACCGTTAATATTTTAGCAGTTCACGGAGAATACTGGTGTTCGAGTACCCAAGTGGATTAGTCACCAAAGTTTGTTGGCTTGGCGCTGCCCTCTTCTTTTTTTTTTTTTTTTTTTTTTTTTCTCAACACCTCTCCGAAAAAAAGATGCCGACGGAAAGATATCCATATGCGCAACGTTTTTTCTTTTTTTTTTTTTTTGTTTGGGACTTCTTCACACAAATTCAAAATGCAACTTACCAGGTGTCAATGGTGGGGAATGAGACCGTGTCCAGTCACCACTGGCTAAGATTTCCGTTGTCACATCTCCCTCGCATCCTTCTTTCACGCCCTCGATGCCTTCAATGCGGTAGAACCCACCGTTGACAGGGGTGTGCAACATCCCACAGCTCGACGGAGGGCTGCTGATCGTGCTTCCCGACGTGGACAACGGAGGTGTCGATGGGAACGTATGGAAATCCGTCATGCAGTTGGTGTCGATCGGGAGGATTCCCGGAGAACCGTGAAGCAGGATGCTTGGTTTGATATGAAGCGGTCGCGGCGACACGCTTGGGCTCAGCATCGCTTCGTCGTTGAGGAAGTTCTTCGGTGCGATGGGCTGCATTGGTCCTGGCTGGTGGAGCAGGTGGTGCTGTTCTGAGATCTGCGGTTGCTGGGGCGGGCAATACTGATCGTGGGTAAAGATTGGCTGGTTGTTTGCTGGGTGCATTTCGGCTGGGTGGGTTGAAAAATAGCCATGCTGTCCCGGGTGAGCATCGGGATCGGGGTTGTAATAGAAGAACGAAGGTTGGCCCCCTGCAGGACCAGGCTGGAGTGTGTATGCATCCATAGTGGTCAACGGCTTCTATATCTGGATCAGCCCCAGCCGAAGTAGAGAGAAGGAAAATAAAAATAAATTAAAAAAAGAAGCAAACCGGTGAATGGGTCAGGGCCACGTTGTCCGTGGCGACTGCGAAACGTACCGTCAAGACTTGGGCCCTTTATTTTTCCTTTCCCTTTTTCTTTTGCCGTGCAACGGATGGCGAGAAAAGTTTGGCGGGAAAAGATAATCAGCGACCGTACGAGGATGCTTTTTTTATTTTTATTTTTATTTTTTATTTTTTTTATTTTTTATTTTTTATTTTTCCTTTTCTTCCTGGTGGTGGCTCAAGTTATTACGACTAGATCGACAAGTTCCGCACGAATATCGGTGCTGAAAATGCCTGGGGTATATATTAATTTGCAAAGGAGTATTGCTGACTCTTTAAACGACGTTTGCGCGAGGGCTCAAGGAGCGTGAGGAATTTCAACAATGCAGCAGAGTGCTAAGGAGTGACTGTTTGAAGGAGAGAATCGATGGGTCGGCTCGAGGAAGGCATGCAAGAAGCTCGCAAGTATGTGGTTACCTGCGACCGGAGTAGGTTTTTGCGGGAGATGCGCTTGGTGGGCTTTCTTGATCCTTTTTTTTCTTGATCGAGATCAGGAATCGTCAGAGACGCATTATCAGGGACGTATATCTGTGCTTGTCGTCTTTTGTGTTTCAAAAAATGAAGGACTGAGGTGCATCCGATGAGAGAGTCATGCCACGAGGGGAGGCAAACGGCAAGGGACGCAATAGAAGAACGAAGTCGGGAGTTATAATGATTATCCGGGGCAAAAAAGAAAAAATAGATATATATGTATATAATATAATAAGAATGGTAATAACAGTGGTATTAGAAGGAGAGCAACATCAACAGAGAGCGACAAATGCGGGAGGAGACGAAGAGGGAAAGGAAAGACTCAGAAAAGAGAGGAATCTGGCACTGGGTGGTAATATAGTGAAGAGAGCGAGAGGAACTATATTTCCGCCCAACGTTTAGTAGGCGAAGTGGAAGAGACGAATTAAAGCCAGGCAAAGGTGGATTACAACAGAATAGTTCAAGATGGGCAAAAAGATAAAAAAGAGCGAGCGGCAAAAATCAAAAAGGGAGCGTGATGGTGGTGGTGTCTGGTCGGTTTAGTCGAGAGAGAGGAAACGGAGGAGGGAAGAGGCGACGCACGAATCCAAGCCCAAGCAAGCAGAATAAATTGCCTATCAGATGTTACAGGACCCGGCGTGGCCATATTGTCCAGCATGAACGACCCAGGGCCTTCGCTTGGGCGGGGGGTTCCCTCCCTCGCAGCCTTTTTTTTCCCGCCCAGAGGGGTCAACGCGACTCACTAAGTGGACGCTACAGCGGTCCAAGACCCTGTCAGCGAGGTCTGGTACCCTAGTCCAAGGTGGCCTGGGGCCGTCTCTTCGGACGATAGCGCAGTGGGAGGCAGAGCCAATCCACCTAGACTGCTGATCCCCGGCGGCCTGCTCAACTCCTAGTGGCCAGAGATGCTTAACCAGTCACAGCGTTTCATAACTAACGAGCCACAGATTAGGGTCAGGCCGGCCGCTCATAAGCCAATTTTTTCTCCGCAGAAAATGGAGGTCCTTTCGCCACTAAGAGAGAGAGGGAGTCTCGGTGTGTGGTGTGAGTGTGGTGTGTGTGTTGTATACGGAGCACGGAGGAAGTGCATGCATTACAATAATGTCATGTATTGTAACTACCATCGATACCCACAGGAATACCTTTCTTTTCTAGTTTAATAAAAAAAAAAAGCCGTTTTCTTTCATCTTTCTTAGTGTACTCCGTACGGAGTATTTGGTTCGACCGGAATTTTTTTTATTTTTTTTTTTTTTCCTGTTCTGTTCTCCATTTGAGTCTCAGAATATCGTGATGTTGTGGATTGGGAGATGAGTGACTTCGCTCAGCCGAGGCCAGCGTGGCCCGAAGACCGAAGAACGAAAAAGGAAGCTGAATCTCTGGAAGTAACATGAGCGCACCGCAGGCCCTGAATGATGCCTCTTCGCATTCCCGCGTCTGGGAGAAGCCATCAAATGAATGGTTTCGAGCGGTGTGGGCCGAAGTTACCAGAAAAACCAACCAGAGTGGGGTTTCTCTGCTGGAAGTGCGCCGGAGGACGATGGGCCAGAAGTCAAAAAAGGAGGTCAGCAAAAAAAATAAAAAATAAACAGGCGTCAGTCGTAATCAGGCGTGATTGCATGGTGTGCGAGCAGGATCAACCGCGGGCCGGTATTGGTGGGCTCGCGGAGCCTGTGAGTCGTGCTTGTCCTCCTATTGCTGCGTCGAATCGGGTTCGGCCGCCAAGAGGGGCCCGCTGGGGAACAATAATCATAATGAAATGCGGAGGTTGAACCGCGTTACAGGGGTGTCGACTGGCGTAACGCATGCCCTCCCGCCTGGCCATTCACACCACGTCGTCCCGGCTGGCCGTGAGCCCTTGGCGTGATTGGCCAGGCTTTAAATTGACGCCGGAACCCGGGCTCTGGCCAATCGTGGCATGGAGTACCTGGGATGCCCAAGGCAGACCATCAAGGTCCCTCGTGCTTCGAGCTTCCTGCGCTCGATTCCCACCGTCACGGAAAAAGGCCGTTGCCCACGGGTGAACCTTGCGACTCGCTCGCGGAGGCAAGGTGACTCGCGACCCCATATATCCGCTCTGTCGGTGATACAGTCCCATGCTTATGATTATCTCTGGGAGGTGGGAATATGAAAAAAGAGTGAAAGCAAAAGAAAAGAAAATGGCGAGATCGCCTTGGAGAAGGGCCAGCCTGAAAAAAATGTGAAATTTGACGCTCAGAGCAACATAACAACAGAGCGGGAATGAAGGAAAAGCAAAGAGCAGCCAAATTGCGTGCACCTGCATTAGCCCACGCATAAGGTTCTATCGGAATCTGTCCCAGGTTTCATTTCTAACCAGGCGGTTGAAGGCTTGGGAGACGAATTTCAGCAGTCACAGGCCAGACAACCGTTTCAGAGGGACCGATGGAGAAATACGACAAACCATCCGTCCTCAGTCTCTCTCTCACACACTCTCTCTTTTCTCACTCCCTATCTAGGCTTGGTGAGGCGGTCTTCTCACGCGAATCAACGGCGGTGGTGGAGGCTTCTTGATCGACAATTTCCTTTGTTATGGTTGTTGTTGCTGAGACCTGTTGCTGGCACGTTCTCTTTTCATGGGAAAGGTACTGGTTGGTTTGGGTGGGTAGTTTAGAGCTTGTTTGCTGTCGCGTGTCCGCGGGATTGGCTCCGGTTTGATGATGTCCTTGCCATAGAAAATTGAGACAGGCTGTCTGCCTTGGGGAATGGGAAAGCTTTCTGGCCGAGCGATCCGGAAGATTGAAAACGAGAGAAACGCAGGCGTCGATGCCTCATGCAGCACAACCTCGAGCTGAATTGTCCTTGGCCACACCGGGTACTTACTTCGTTCAAGTCCTCGTTGACCAGCCCTGGGAGGATACGTAGTATCTCGGTCTTTTGCTTTGTTCCACACCAGTGTGAAGCTCAACCCGAATGTCTGATATTCAACAGTTTTTGTTCTTGTTCCAGAAAGTACTCTGTAAATCTGAATACGACGCAATTCTCATCTGCAAGTCACTGGAAAACCTTGCACTACAGATTGTATTGAACTTTTTCTTTTTTCTTCTTTTGTTTTCTTTTTTTCGCTCAAGAACATACGGTACGGTGGACATTGACTTTCCACCGGGGATGCAGCCAGCCTATCTAACTACGCTTCTCAGAAGCCGACCACATCGTTTGTCAAATAGCACGAGGAGTCATTTTTGAGAAGCTTTTGCGATGTGGACTTTGAGAAAAAGGTCACAGAATATCACACGAGTCTCTCCTCTGAGATCGTGGTGATCTGCATGGTCAATGCACCTTTTTATTTTTTTAAAACCACGAAAGTGTCCAAGCATCCTCCGGATTTTGTGCACTGCAAATCATCGATCAGCGAAGGACGCTTTGATACCTTCCGGCCAACGACTGGCTCCTGGGCGTAATTGAGTTAAAGTCGGCCGGTACCTGAACCAGTTACCGTTGTCCAGACTTTTTACGATTCAACAACGAAAGGGAAGGGGGGCAGAAAATAATAAATAAAATAGAGGCTGGCAAACTCCGTCCTCCGTACACGTTCCGTACAAACCCCGTACATATGGACGGCAATCTTCTGACCGCGTTCTCCGTAGGCCCATGATTGGAACTGGGATAAGGATTAATACGACTCTGCTAAGATGTGTCGATGGACACTCGCGATTAATCCGAGGAATATGAACAACTAACTAGTTCGGTGGGTAGTGTTTGAGCACTGGAAGTTTACCTTGGCTTCGGGGGGCCAACAGCCGAGAACGAGGCATGTGAAATCGTAAGTTTCAACGGGCCACCAAAGCAAAGCACATGAAATATTAATCCCAGCGCTCTGGGAATTGTGGACGAGCAGTGAAACAGGAACAACATGCATGTTGCAGATCTTAAACGGTCAAGATGGAAGAAAATACTTACATTTGGTTGTTGATATGTCAGAAAGCCTCTTCTTTTTCCAATGGGTGTAGTCTGCGCGTTCGTGGGAATCGATCCGTCTGGATTTTCGCCTCCCACTTGACATGTCTCAGAACACGCCAGCAAAATCCCAAAAGTCTGGGAGGAGTTAGTTTAGCTCGAACGATATCGAGGCGAATATTGTTTTTATTCTGGCGAACTCTTTCGATGCAGCGCCAAATTCTCCGATTCTGATCAGGAACCCACTTCTAGTCTCAAAACCATTCCTGTACGAGATACGGGGTTGCAAGGAACGTCCAAGGGCAAACCACCGCTTTGCAGCAGTAGCAACGCGTTGGGACTACAGTACGACATAACCTCGAAGAGCGGGAAGCGATCATCCTAATATCCCTTCCACCACCCGCGATATCGCTGTTGATGAGTCGTAAAGCAACAAGGATCGAATGGGAGTAATTAGCATCACTGACCTTGTCTTTTCCCTGCTCTCGATATCCTTCGAGAAATTCTGGGCAATTTCTATGTATAATCCTGGGTCTCTGTAACCCTCCCCCCGTAAGCAGATGAAACACTCCAGAAGGCTTCCTTGCGTGTTCCTGCATGCCCACAGTGGAACATTTGACTCGGCAAAACTTGGCAATTGGACCTCGACTCTCGACTTTCAAGGATGACCAGCGAGTGGAGACGATTATTGGTTATATTTGGACTGATCCCACAGCCAGGATACCAAGGAAAAAAAAAAAAAAAAAAGAGTTTCAAGATCGAGAAGACGTGATCATGTTAACTTGCAAAAACCAGCGATACCTGTTGGAGCTGCAAAACTGACGACCGATACTACGAACTGAAATCATGTACGGAGCAGAGGGTGAGCTTTCCCCTCACAGGACCATGGAACGCTTGTCTGGGGTTATCAAAATAAGACTCCTTGGGCGACGTGTCCAAGCGAAATCTTGACGGGCCAAGCTCCCAACCCTGCTCGCCTACCTCCCTAAAACCCACTGAATTGATAGTCTCCAGCGTGCGGAGCACCTCCAATCTTCGGAGTTTGAGACCCAAAGAAGGGTAAGGTTTCTGCGATGGAGCACTCTCCCGATTGCTAAAGGAAGCAGGATGGAAATATCAAATCGCTAGAAGCTACCGAGTATTTCTCAGCCGGCCTGGCTGACTAGCTCCAAGGGAAGGATTACCGGGTTGAAACCCCCGAGCTTCACCGTTAATTCTCATGCGAGTGACAACCGGGAAGGCATTGAATTACGCGATCAATGGCGTAAGCAAAAAGGTTCATCGTCTCCGCCACATTTTTCAACACGAAATCTTCTCTCGAGACAACAAAAGCACTTCGCGGGTGGATGTACCGAAATTCGACATCCATCAAGCTTTAAACTCGCTTTTTCTGCAATTTGCCTATTCCCCGCAATTGTTTTTCCCCGTTCCCACAATCTCCACTGAACACAACTTGGTAATTGGCTAAAAGCACACCGGGACGCCATGAACTTCAATTCCCGGGACCCATCAAATAGATTCGGCTCTGCAAAAGCGGCTTGCGGGAACGGGATCGCTCCAGCATGAAATTGCAGATTTCATCGCCATTGCAAAGGCCAGTGCGTCGTGAGCGGCAGAGCTGAGCTCTTCGGCAATGATAAACAGGCTTACTTTGCCTTCTTCGGTCATGGTGACATCCTCAACGCCAGTTGAAGGGAACGGCGCTGCTTGCGGGAAATTCGGTCGAAAGGCGCGACGGTGGGGGGTTTTGTGTTTGCAGAATCTATCTGCCAGAGCTCCAAAACTCTCTTCTCTCGATTTGCGTATCGGCTGTTGTTGATACTTACCCACAGCGCGGTATTTTGTGGAGCTGCGTTTGTTTTGCTATCTGCTCTCAGGATGGAGCCCGGCTTTGGGGATGAATGAGGTTCCTCTCAAGATTCCCGAGCTTCAGCTTTCTTAAGATTGTTATCACTTGGCGGGTCCTCAGCTGACGGGCGGGAAGGCTCCCGCCTCCCGGCGTTAAGTCCACCGTCATCATCTCTTTGTCCGATGACAGCAGTTCCCAAATGCATTGAAAGATACGCCCCTGCTCTCGGCCCCAAACGTTCTGCAACCAAGACATGTGGCCGACGAGGATGGGAGTCAGGCTAAGATCAATACCGGTAAGTCATTTCTCCTCTTTAAGATCAAAGCATAATAATGGTGCTCCATTGAACAGGGGAATGGGGCTTCGATTGTCGAGAAGGACTCGTAGTTAGCTTTGAGCGCCCTTTTCAATACCGACAGCAGAATTCTTTATTCAGCCATGCTCTTCGAAACATAAGTTGCCTATCTGGCTACCAGCTACTTATTAAGGGACTAGACAACAAAACAGGGTAACTGACTGCCCATTCAGAGCCCTCGCAAATGCCACCATGATGGCGGTTTGCTGTTGACAAGGGAAAGAGACTATGTCGAGCACTTTCACTGGCGAACTCTTCTGCATCCTAGCGCAGGCTATGTGTGAATGAACAAGGCCCTAGCCACATTATGCTTTATATTTCTTTTCCTCTTCCTCTGTGGGTATCGGCATTCTCTCATTATTTCCGTGTCCGCCGTGTGAATCCGCTTTAGAACAGTCTCAATGGCACAATTCTTCTAAGACAAAAAGCTCAAAACGTGACACCAAATCTCTTATAAGAATTTCTCATCACAAGCAAATGGCCAATTGACCATCAGGTACTCCGTACAAATCATCAGATCATTAATCCGTTGGGTAGTGGAATGATTCACAATAATCACAGACCTGGGAACAGAGAAAATAATTCACAAATATTGGCTTTCTTAGTAGGCTGCTCACCGAACCACAGCAGTCAAGTTTAGGCTTCAGAGGAAATGTCATATTGAGATCATCGCTCAACAGAGCTTCAGTCTCTTCCTATTAAAATTTCTCAGATACACAGAGTGTACCCCATCATAAGCCCTGATGAAAGAAAAAAAGGAAGAGAAAGAAGAGGAAGAAAGCCAGAAAACTCTGTCAGAGAGCTCCACAACAATCTGCTGACATAATCTAACTTATGATTATATAATACATAATCGGCTAATCCTATTACGGCTTAGTCCATCTTCTTTAAATACCGCCAGCGCCCACAACCGCTTTGAAAATTTTCTTCTTCTTTTCTTTTCCTCGTGCGGCGTACGCAGCCCAAATTTCACCCGTGTTGCCTATGCATCTGGCCCTTCTTCAGGACCACAATGATGAGATTATATTAGGTGTCGGCTGCGTTCCAGAGAAACGGAAATTGCACATCGATTCGTACTTTACTGGTCGTTTTTTGAGGGACCCCGAGGGAAGTTCTTCGTGACTTGTACTTGTGCGTCCTTATTGGGGAAATGGCCATTTGGTTTGGGATCGAACAAACTTGCTCATCCTTCTTGACACTTACGAGAAGGGTGTTTGGTGGAATGAGCTCTACATAGCTTGTGTGAGAGAAATATAGTTAATAGTTAATACAATACTCAGTCAAGCTTGACCCATGATATCCCCTCCATCTAGATTTCTGATGAAGCTGCCGATGAATGAATGGGACACAGGTTCCGTCAAGAAGTGTTTGTAGCAACCTTGCCTGGCTTCGTCATTGGATCTTTGGAGGTCAGAGATTTTCACGATGACCCCCCGGAGTCCCAATCAGTATTGTAGCTATCTGCTGCAGAGAGGTCTCGCGGCAGGCTGTTCAAGAAGCTGCTCTGTTTAGCCTACTCTCCTCCTGGTTCGCCAAATTTCTCCAGCTTTCCCATCTCCATCTTCTCTCCCGAATCACCAAAGAGTCGTATCCTATCAACTCGGATCTTTTCACCATCCCCGTCCCCGTCTACGAAGTATACGACTAAAGATGCAACTCGCTGGAACTTGACGAAGCGCAGGTCAACCTTCGCAGTTCCCGTTTTCGCATCCCAGTCTCTAGGCTCAATCGTAACCTCCTGCGTTGGCTGAACATCGTCGGCTTCGTCGAAACCGATAATGTGTGACCGATTCGTGTATAGCTTTATTGTCTTAGGGCGCATGGGGACTTCGTCGTCCTCATCTTTTGGAGGAAGAGAGGTAATATGCAATGAATGAATCTTCAGCGACGCGTTAAATGGCATGAACAGCATCAGCTGCTCGTCTGTGTCACTCTCCACCCAGTCCGGTTTGCTCTCCTCTTTGGCCTTTGGTTTGAGTGCCGAAGGCTGCGACCTCTCGAAAATGTTTTTTCCAGGTCCAATGTCGTTGTCGCAGTTTAATAAGTCTATGCCCTTGAGATCGACCTGGTCGGTGATGTCCTGGTAGCCCTTGGGAACAGCAGCTCCTAACCAATTGCTTCCACTTTCTGAGGATTCACCACCAGCCGCTGCCCCAGTGTCTCCGCCTTCGCCACCCGCGGCGAATTTCCTGACTGCATCGGTGAGACCTCTTGAGTTTGCGCCTTGGATCGTTTGGACAACGTCGCCGTCCTTGAATATCAGGAATGTTGGCATTCTGTAGAACCCAAAGATATTACGCGTATCAGCGGGGGCCATCTCCCACAGCCGTTAGAGAGGGTTGATACCCGGATAACTCTATACTTACGCAGTAACACCAAAGGCCTGGGATATCTCCTGTTGCTCGTCAACATTGATCTTGACAAATGACATTTGGTTTGGACGCGATAGTTGAGTGGACAATTGCTCGAAAACCGGGGCGATGACTTTGCATGGCTGGCACCAATCGGCATAAACTGATCATGAAGAGAAAATTAGATTAGCAAATGTGATCCGTACAGGGCCTGCAAGGCCGAACTCAGTGCAGATGTTCTCCAAAAGGCTGCCGAATGAAACTTCGAGCGCGGGGTAGGGCGGGGATAACAGCTGATTTTGGAGGGTAAGGGGATCGACACTTGAACTTACAATCTGCGATAAGGATTTTGGTAGATGTGAGCAACTGAAAAAACTGCTCCGAGGACGTGATGGACACCGGTTTGGCCATTTTGACGGTGGTTGCTCGGTGGTTGGAAGAGAATGGAGGGACTGAGCGTGACGTTATAGGCAGCCAAAGTGCCTGGAATGCGTGGGTTGATTTTTAAGCACAGCAATCAAGTCCAGGCACACGAATCAAATGCTCGACCACCCACTCAATAGGTACTTCCACACAGCATATGGGTACATAATAAGTTCCTCTGGGATCACATGGGGCGACTCGGCGTGCATTTTGGATTTAAACAAGGACTTTGTAGCTGCTGCGTGGGATACACCTGGCTGAGATGCTGTCTCCATAGTCTTCAAAACTACATATAACCCTCCATATACGACCCTTCAGTTATGTACATACATCCTTAACTTCCCTCCTTTCACTTAGGATAGTAAGCTTTGCAAGGAGGATAAGTCGTATTTGCTTCCGTCTTTTAACACTTGGCTCACTGCGCGATCCGGCATCTCTAGATCCATCCTGGTTCCCGCTATAAATCACAGAATATCGGCGCTGCAAACTCTCAACCCGGTAAAAGTCGCTATTCACCTTCGTCGATATCGAAGATCTGGCGTTGACCTTCGACACTGAGGTAGTATTCTTGTGGGCCACTTAAGTCGTGGCATGCTTCGTCCGGCCGTTCGCGGCGAAGCCTTGCTTAAAAAGCGATGTAGCATGGACTCCCCGCCGATTTTGCACTCCCATAAACGAAAATAAGATCCCATAGGCTGTTTTTAGCTTTTCAAGACTTGCCGTCCACACAATTCTCGTCATTCCCCGCATCCGGCACATCTTCTTCATCCACCGCGAAAAGAACTTTGGCCCACAGACTACACCCTTGACATCCGACCATTATTTCCCCCCTCTCCATCTCATTCTTTAGGTCTTCTTCGTGGACCAAAAAGCCCCTTTTGTCTCCGCATCTACAGCCCCGATACCAAAAGCCGGCACCTTCTGATTCCTCTCCGACCTCCATATCGTCTAAATCAAGCACCTCTAATCCGGTGCGAAACGGCTGGCTTTCGCTATCCACGGCGTGCTGGCCGCCTGCACCGCTAGCGAGACATAATAGGGAACGATCGTATTCAGCTTTTGCGCGTGGGTTGGAGAGGACTTTATATGCCATGGTCACCTGGTCCACGGTGAAGGTTCGGGGTGCTTGGAAACCCGATTTGGCGACGGGAGTAGCAGTCCACCCGGATGAAGTGTCCTCTGAGGGAGTCGAAGAGCCGGACTTATCTGGATGGTGTTTTAGTAGAGCGCGGTGGTAAGCCGCTTTCAAATCCGGTTGTCGGAGTAGGGCTGGAGGGCGCGGCAGCCCGAGGATGTCATAGTGAGTAGTAAGCAATACCCATTCTCCAACTGGGGCAGTCATTGCTCAGATAGGACAGATTTGCGGATTGTTATGCAGGAGTCCATCCATACCGTTTTGCCACTTTGTAGCTGCCGATGGAAGGGGGGAACAGAGAAAAATTATGGCGGGGATACGGCAGTTGTGCCGCTCGGATCGGTGACTAAGCATGACACAAGGGCCGGGCTGATGGCATCCCATCGACGACGTGTTCAAAGCATACCAAAATACCAGGGCTTTTTGGCCAGAGTTACCATCAGGTAGCCACATGGCGGGTGGAACCAGTGGCTGTTAAACGGTTGGGCAGATGTTCGTACCCTTCCTTTTTTTTTTTTTCGGACTGGGCTAGCGGCGAAAAATGCCGCAAGTTCCTGGACTGCACAACCTCATCTTATAAAGAGCTGCGATCTTTCTTCCCTATATTTGTTTCAGAATTTGCATGGACTCATAATTCGCCATCCCTTTTTGCAAAAGTTTGAGTGTAAAATGCGAGAGTCGATCAAGAAAAGCCCCTTCTTTTACCCAAAGCCAAGGGACTTTAGCAGTAGAGGATTTGGGGTACGCTGAATCTAGCATTCAAGGATGAAAGGCAGGAACAATTAAAAAGAACAGTAAGAAATTCAAAACGAAGGAAAACTGAGAACCATCTGTTTGATTTTTAACTACAGGAACATGAATTAATCTGGGCATAAGACATTGGGTTAGAAGTCTGACCAAAAAAAAGAAAAAAGGTACAGGACGCTCCTGATATGCGACTTTTTACTCGCTTCTCTTGAAGACGTAGCGGTCTTCAGCCTTGGAGGTGAAAGGCACGCCCAGCTCAAGGAGCTTGACGAATACATCGGAGAACTCCTTGAAGAAGACATCGCTATCCTTGGCGTATCGGTCGACGTGTTTCTTGAATTCTTTATCCTTAATCAAAGCCATATCCGTTGGAAGCATCATCAAGGTCTTGGTGGTGTTGTCGGTGAACTGTTTAGGGCCGTTCCACTGTTCATTGGGTTAGCTACAGCTTGAGCAGCGAAGGAAGGGAAGGGGCAGGAGAGTATACCTTTTTCTGGACCCATTTCTCGTCCAAAAGCAACTTGAAGAATTCATTGGTGAAAACAGTAGGGCTGAAGTCCCATGGTCCATCATAGCCGGATCGGTCGCTGTGAGCACGGCCGAGAGCGTGAGCGCCGCAAAGAGCGACCATCTCGCGATCATCGAAACCCATACGACCGAAGATAGCTCTGATGTGCTTCTGATCCTTGGAGGCATCTGGAAGACGACCATCAGGTGTGCAGGCAGTCATATCAGCGTCCTTGCGGCCGGGGCGCCATGGGATGTCAGGTCCTCCCAACTCCTGGATGGCACAAGAACCAGCAAGGGTCCAGAGATCGGAGTAAGAAATCCAAGGGAATTTCTCTGGAAGACAGAGACATAGAGTTAGTACGTGGTTCTGCAAAGATATACCCCAGCAAAGTGCCGTTTAATACTCACTCTTTACTGGCTCGAGGAAATCTCTAGCAGCCTTCAATCCAGCATTGGCACCGTGGTCAGACTCTGGGGCGAAGCGCATGGTAGCGCCATTGCTTCCTCCAGTCCCAGTTTCCTTATCGTAGGTACCACTGGCGTGCCAGGCGAGACGAACAAGGACCTGGGAGGGGGGAAAAAAATTATACACATCAGCGAATCTGTGTTTTCAAGAAAAACGGGGGGGAGGAGAAAAACAAACAACTTACAGGTCCGTAGCTTCCATCATCATAATCGTCCTTCTCTACAAGAAGTCTTGCAATTTCATCATAAACCTTCTGGAAGTCCTCCTTGGTTGGGTCGGAGATGATAGTAGGTTTCGCCGAATTCGAGGACAGGTGGTCACCGTTCAAGTAGTAGAAAGCACCGGCACCACCAGCGGCAACGGCTGCAAGACCCCAGATGAGGCCAGAGGACGACTTTCCACCTTCAGCGCCGGAGGAGTAGCCCCTGCGAGACGACGCGCGGAAAGTGTAGGCGGGAGCAGAGAAGCGAAGTGAGCTACGGGTGACTGAAGATCGAGCAGAAGAGGTTGCTGGAGTGGCTCGAGCAAAAGCTCTGGTGAGAGTTCGCGCAGCGGAAGCCATGTTTTCCTGAAGTCAACGGATGAACAGGGCCTGTATCCGGATGCTTTGATGACAGCGAGAGGAGAATTGAACAGATTGATGAGTCGGGAGGAGATGCTGGTGGAAGATTTATGATCCAGGATGTCTCTCTGAGAGCGGAACCGGGGAATGGGCGCGCTGTGATTGGCCCATCAGGAGCTGCTTGCTGCCCCGACAGGCCAATCAGAATTCATACGAAACGCTTGACCACTGCCTAATCCGGAATGTTGTCCCCGAGCTTAGCTAAGCCACGCCTCGGCCGACCGCGACTCGAAAGCCCAGAACGCGAGAGTCATCGTCATTGTTCGCCGCCTGGGGGCAGAGAGCTTACCCAACACAGAAGCGCCAAACGTGCTTGCTGCCAACGTTCCTTCGTTCACAGCACGCAGCGTCCGTGGGAATGTGCTGAGGACCACCCCGGAACTTACCGCATGTGCCGCCCAATCCCGTCGGGAACCGTGGTGTAGGCGCTCCCGACGGGTGATGAGCCCAGCTGTCGCGGGAAAAGGCGCCGCCCCAGAGGACCTGATTGGGGGGGGACCGAGTTCACACTGAATTGAAGATTACGTATTTCAATCCAGCCTTTGTCACGGTGACCTTTTACCATGGTTGTCTAGTAGTGGTTATCTTAGAACGGTGACGGCGTACTACCACCGTCCTGTGTAGTTACCACAGGCGAGTTCCGGAGTTTTTGGAGGTACAGTATTGCCTCGTGAGAAGTTTGTTCCACTGATGTAGTTGTACCCACCAAGCAACTCTGGCTGGGATGAGAATACCAAGGGATCACAGCTACGTAATTATATATTAAGGTATTAAGTCTCTACCTGGTCTGTAGGCTGTAGCTTGGGTGCCTTCGTAGCCACATGAGTGATGGAATCTTCAAGCTGCTTTCTTCATGACTGATTCTGTAGGCGTCTTCAAAATGTTTCAGGCCCAAACTTGAGAGTGTTTTGGGTATCATGTTACGGCTTTCGTTCTGTAAATCCCCAAATAAAGGTGGGCAAAGCAAAACTGATTCATTTTTCGTCGAAGAGTATCTCTTTCGAGGTGAGGTATGCGGCGACTTGGGAAGGTCCTGGTTTCGGCTAACAAATGATAACAAGAGTACGGAGTAAACTGGATTGTATTGCTAATCATCTAAGATATGTATCGGTGTAACCACGAAGCATAAACATTTGCCTCCAGCCATCAACCAAAAATTGGAGAATATAGACCGATGGATGTCCGTCCTTGATTTAGTCCTAACTGCAAAACGAAATATAAGCAGTAGGGTGGAGAAGACGACAGTTCCTGCTAAAAAACTGTTATGAATTTGATCTTCCACTACTTTTGAACGAAGTATGCATCAGTGGCCATTGAAAAGAGCTCAAGATGCTGGCAATGTTGTGGGTTTTCTTTTTCCAAGCACTTATAAGGTTTGCACGACGAGGAAAACAAGTAATAGAGCATTTGCTGCTGCTCCCGGAAATGGAACTGCATCAGTTGTGTGACTTTCGAAGGGATGGAAATCTTTTAAAGAACTCCGCACAAACTCATATCTCAGAAATCCCGAAGGCGGAGGCAGTATCCGGGGATCGACTTGGGATAAACATCATTAATCGTAATATGTGGTGGCATCACCTGGACATATAAGATCGAGACTGTGGATCTCATCTCTTCCAGCTGAACTGGGAGTTGACCATTCCCTTGAATCGACTTTTGAAAGGGTGAAAATTTGCAGCAGGAGGAAATTTTTAGACAGTGCCCGATGGCGCCAATGCTCGGCCCGTAAAAAGTCCGTGAATCACGTGAAACCCAGCTGCACAAAACCTTCACCTTTTCGATTTTACTTACCTTTTTTCTCCCTTCTCTTTTTTTTCTTTCTTCACACTTTCAAAATACCTCTGAACGCATAATCAACCTCCAATTTCCTCTATCCCATAGGATGGCCAGGTCATATTGGCGTACTAGACGAAAACAGAGAGGGATGTACTTCATATGTTTCTCTCTGTTTAACGGGCATTTTAAATGGCTTCTTTGAACCCGAGCATAAGGCTTGTTTCAATGGTCGTGGGAGTCACCTGCTGTCCAGACATACCGTTTAAATACGTAAATGTGCTATTCTTCCCTGTAAGCTGCTGTGCTTTGGATTTGTGAATGTCTCAGTGGGGCTGGGTTTAATTGTTGATACTTATTATCGCCCAACTATCTGTTGAAAAGCTACTTTCGTTGAACAAACAGAAATACCACCAGGAAATCATTCGTATTGAAGGGTATCATGCTGTTACAAGAAGGATAACCATGCCCTATTTATCGCCGTACTCCGGGTTAAGCAAGAGGAAAAGATCGGTTTGGTGATGTGGCCTGACGCCGAAAACGGGGTCCCGTCTTTAAATAGAACTATGACCTGTCAAAGATGTTAGTTACTGCATAAAGCATAGACTAGAGGCAGTCCATACTCCTCTGTCATATCTGCCTCTGCAAACTCGAGCCATTTTCCTGAGACGGCCCGTTTCCAAAATCGAGCCATACCGTCATCCCCAGAGGACATAAGGCAGTCGCCTACAGCATCTTATCAATTTTTGACCGCTCAGTCTTGGTATTGTGGGATAAGGGCTGAATACCTGCATGAGAAAACTGAACCTGCCACACACATGCGTGCTTGCTATCGATAGATCCCACTTCTTTAAATGTATGCTCGAAGGCGCTTCTCCCGCTTCTTTGCTTATCCGCAATGGGCGCAGTGGTTCGACTCGCAAGGGCAGACCCGATTCCAGATTGAGTTGCGGGGCGCATTGGCGATGCCCTCTGAGAGTTGGTCGAACTTGCACCTTCACTAGCCCCGTTTGCAACATTATTGCTTGCCGTAGATGTATAAACCTCGAAGATTTTGATGGTGCCATCTTTAGAACCGCTCGCAATTAAATCATACCCGCGTACGGAACCGCGAGCCCAAGAGACATCGCGCACGAGAGAGGGATGCCCCGTAAGTTCAATAGCATGGTAGAACTGCCGATCGGCGCCCATCCTATAGACTTTCACAGTATCCATTGCTGCAACTACCAGAGAGAGGCTTTTGCTGTCCCACGACGGCATAACAAGATGTGTCATATCGAACGGATCATGATGGAATTGGACCTTGAAGCTGGTCTCCTCGCCACGTTGAGGTTCTGCGCAAACTCGGAACTGGTCAATTTGTTGCCATTCGGCCAAGGTGTCGCCTCCGACCGGCTCAAGAACTGTAAGAAGACCATCCCGGGTGATGACCGCAAGCCACGAGTCAAGGTCGATGTTACGGAAATCGAGGGAAACATAGGGGGTGCGAACGGGAGAGGTCAATCGAAAAATGCTGCGAAAACGGCGTCCAGAGTTGGGAGGCTGCGTAAGATCTTCCTGCCAGAGCTTGAACTTCATGTCATTGCCTACAGTGCCGATATGCTGGCCGGTAAACGGACCGTTCCATGCTGCCTGTTTGCGAAAGTCTCTTGTTAATATACCATGCGCGACACGCCCCACCATGGTCAACAGCAAACCATCAGTCAACTGACATCGTAAATTTCAGCATCATGGGCGCGCCATGTATCTATTAGCTCCCAGCCGGCTTCGTTCTGGTCCCAAACCTTGACGCGATGATCGGAGGAAGCCGTGAGAATGCGATTACCGTAGAAATTGAATTTAATCACGTTCACCTGGTCGCGATGACCGATTTCAAATTCCGTGGGAACCGGCATCTCAAATCATCACTATGCCGGTTACTGAAAAGGTCTTCGGTATATTCACAAGTTGACGACGTCTTAGGAGTTGGTTATTCGCAGCCATTTCCGCGACCGGAGCCTTCTTCGACCAGAAGCCGCGCCCGAACCCAACCTTAAAACAGCGCGCTAAGTCGGTGGTGGAGCCGCAGACTTGTGCCAAGCAGCGGTGAGCCACGGCAGTAACCATATTCCTTCCGGCTGTGAGAACAGCTTGCAACATCCCGGACGTGTACTGGCATGACATGTTTGCCTTCCAGCGCGAGAATTATACACAGTTTGACTATGTGCTTGTGTCGCATACCTGAAGATGATAACTACTCTTACTCACAGGGAAACATGGAGCCTCCTGACAGTTGTAATAGCTTGTTTCGGGGTCATCGTGAACACTTTTCAAGGTGATGGGGAGCCGTTGATTGCGTCCCTAGCCCTGAGCGGCATAGCATTTGCCGCGGCATTCGGCTTGATACGATGGTTGGGGGCTGTGTTTATGAAAGCCGGCCTGAAGGGCAAGGATATGTCCAAAGTGAAGCAAGCTGAGATGTACGTTTTCCTGAGAAAGACGAAAGCCACTGTGTGACTTGGCTAATGAGGCTATACTAGACCGGAGACAATGGGAGCTGTTTGTGCGATTGTATATATATTGGCAATCATTGTCTTCATTCCATTCCCTTTCTACAAAGACATTGTCGCTGCAACATCGGGAGGCGGGAATCGTGATGTTGTCTTGCCGGTTCACCATGTAGAGACTGGACGTTTGCTGCACCGATTCCCGCATAATAAGGTGAAGTGGTCTCAAGCACGGCTTATACGGCGATGATTCACTGATACATTCTATTTTGTTGCAACAGCTGGCATCTTATTTGTCCGGACTTCTGTCGTTACAATCTATCGTCATATTGGGTTTCGGAGATGATCTCCTTGATATTCGATGGCGCCATAAAGTGTTAATACCGGCGTTTGCCGCTATCCCAATGCTCATCGTGTACTTTGTGGACTTTGGTGTCACGCATGTGGTCGTCCCGGTGCCCTTGCAGAGCTACTTGGGTCCTATGATTGACTTGGGGTGGATGTATTACGTGTACATGGCTGCTGTTGCGATCTTCTGCCCCAACAGCATCAACATGCTCGCGGGCATTAATGGAATTGAGGTATCGCAATCAATCGTTATCGCAATCCTTCTGATAGCCAATGATTCATTGTATCTGGCGCCAATCACACCATATCCTCACCCGGCCACTGATTCACACTTATTTTCGATTTACCTTCTCCTCCCATTTATCGCCGTCTCTCTAGCGTTGTGGTGGCACAATTGGTATCCAGCAAAGGTATTTGTTGGGGATACCTACTGTTACTTCGCGGGAATGGTGTTTGCTGTTGTGGGAATCCTAGGTCATTTCAGCAAGACACTTCTTCTCCTCTTCATTCCCCAGATTTTTAATTTCCTCTATTCCACGCCACAGCTATTTCATTTAATCCCATGCCCCAGGCACCGACTACCCCGGTTCAGCATCCGAACAGGTCTCCTCGAGCCATCTGTCACTGAATGGCAACGTCCACCGACGAAGCTTATCGCTGTGGCACTTGAGATCTTGCATCGACTCCATCTTGTGCGGATTAAGAAGAACGAACAGGGAGAGATTGTCGAGTCTACAAATTTGACCTTACTGAATCTCTGGCTAATATGGTTTGGCCCTTTGCGGGAGGACAAGCTTGCGATGCACATCGTTGGGCTTCAATTCTTCTGTGGATTCATTGGCTTGCTAGCTCGGCATAAACTTGCATTGTGGGTTTTTAGAGAGGATAATCGCGGGTTTGGTTCAAATTTCATGTAGATTTTAAAGATGTATGTATATCTGCCCGACAGCGTGATAAGTGCTTAGAAGGAATTCAATTGGACATGAATGCGTCACTGTAAACAGAAAAGTCCTCCCCTCCCCGGTTTGCTTCTGCGCCATCGGCAAAGCTTCCCACACCCAAAGGTGAAGCTTTCCGCTAACGCAGGGCCGCCCCCAGAGCTCAACTCCGACCATCGGCCGCCGTTTTTCGCCGCCAATACCCGCCAGCGTCCAATCAACGAGTGTGCCATTACGATTACCCCCGACTTCGGGCCGCGCCCCGCTGAGTCCTGCATCGCTATATCATTGACTTGATTCCTGGACAGCTCTGCTCTTTTGCCATCACATTCTCATTTTCCGTCGCTTTCTCAGCTGTTGCATATATATTTACCATTGTTTGGTTATTGGCGATTGATACCCCGAGCGCATAAGCCTTATTCATTATGCCGTCGGCAGAGAAGAGGCCAAAGACACTCTACGACAAGGTCTTTCAAGACCATGTAGTTAACGAGCAGGATGATGGCACGATACTGCTTTATATCGGTACGATACCTTTCTTTGTGTGTTATTCTGGTGCTGGCGTTAATGTACCTCAAGATAGGCACCTTGTACATGAAGTGACATCACCGGTAAGCTTCTTTTGCGAAATCCCTGTCACTAATCACGGGTGTCACGTTGGCTGACAAACCCCACAGCAAGCTTTCGAGGGCCTGAAAAACGCTGGGCGTCGAGTTCGAAGGCCAGACTGCACCTTAGCTACGGTTGACCATGTACGAGCTTCATAATCTCTTTTAGCTTCTATCTCTAACGTCGTGTAGAATGTTCCCACCACATCACGCAAGACTTTCAAGAACGTTGCCGATTTCGTTCAGGAGGCAGATTCTCGTCTTCAATGCTTGACCCTCGAAGAGAACGTGAAAGACTTCGGCCTCACGTACTTCGGCCTGGGAGACAAGAGACAAGGAATCGTTCACATCATTGGTCCGGAACAAGGCTTTACTTTGCCGGGTACAACGGTTGTGTGCGGAGATAGCCACACCTCGACCCATGGAGCTTTCGGAGCTTTGGCGTTCGGTATCGGTACTAGTGAAGTGGAACATGTCCTTGCGACGCAGACCTTGATCACTAAGCGGAGTAAAAACATGCGAGTACAGGTTGAGGGCGACCTTTTACCGGGTGTCACCAGTAAAGACGTTGTCCTACACGTTATTGGCGTGATTGGAACTGCAGGTGGCACAGGTTGCGTCATTGAATTCTGCGGCTCCGCGATCAGGGGACTTAGCATGGAGGCAAGAATGTCCATCTGCAACATGTCTATTGAAGCCGGTGCTAGAGCTGGTATGATCGCACCCGATGAGATTACTTTTGAATACTTGAAAGGGAGACCACTTGCGCCCAAGTACGACAGTGCGGAGTGGAAGAAAGCCGTCAAATATTGGTCGAGCTTGAAGTCCGACGAAGGTGCCAGCTATGATAAGGAAGTGTTCATTGATGCAAAGGATATCGCTCCCACAGTTTCATGGGGTACCTCTCCCCAGGATGTTGTGGCAATTACTGGCGTCGTCCCAGGGCCAGACGACTTCGATGATGAAGTGAAGAAAGCAAGTGCCCGCAGAGCTCTTGAATACATGGGCCTCACTGCCGGAACCCGCATGCAAGATATCTCAATCGACAAAGTTTTCATTGGCTCATGCACAAATTCCCGTCTCGAAGATTTACGCAGTGCTGCCCACATTGTTCAAGGGAAAAAGGTGGCCCCGAACGTTAAGCGGGCCATGATTGTCCCTGGATCTGGCTTGGTCAAGGAGCAAGCTGAAGAAGAAGGCCTGGATAAGATTTTCCTCGATGCTGGGTTCGAGTGGAGAGAAGCCGGGTGCTCAATGTGTCTCGGCATGAATCCAGATATTCTCTCACCGCGAGAGCGATGCGCGAGTACTTCGAATAGAAACTTCGAAGGTCGGCAAGGAGCAGGAGGACGGACACACCTTATGTCGCCCGTAATGGCTGCCGCTGCCGCTATCGTTGGAAAACTCGCTGATGTCAGAGACCTTACCCACGCTGTCCCAATATCGAAACGTGCATCACCAAAGGTTGAAGTCCAGCCAGAGGTTGATGATATTGACACAGATGATGACCTTGATCGTATCCTTGATTGTCCTAATGATAGCGAGCCTCATACTAACTGCTCTGCTTCCAAATCTTCCTCCGGTCTTCCTAAATTCACTACACTCAAGGGTATCGCGGCTCACCTTGACCGTGCGAACGTTGACACCGACGCCATCATCCCGAAACAATTCCTTAAAACAATCAAGCGCACGGGACTTGGAAGTGCACTCTTCTACTCCCTTCGATATAATGAAGATGGCAGCGAAAACCCAGACTTTATTCTCAACAAGGAACCATACCGCCAGAGCAAGATCCTGGTTGGCGGAGAAAATTTTGGCTGTGGAAGTTCTCGAGAACATGCACCATGGGCGCTCCTCGATTTCGGCATCAAGTGTGTTATTGCACCGTCCTTTGCTGATATTTTCTTCAACAACACATTTAAAAACGGCATGCTTCCTGTTATAATACGGGACGAAGCGGCTCTGAAGAAGATCGCAGCAGAAGCGGAGCGTGGTAACGATATAGAAGTTGACTTGGTCAACCAACGCATAAACGATGCTACCGGCAGCAAGCTTGCGGACTTTGACGTCGAGCAATTTAGGAAGCACTGTCTCGTGAATGGCTTGGATGACATTGGCCTCACCATGCAGATGGAAGATCAAATCAAGGAATTCGAAACGATCCGTTCGCAGGAGACCCCGTGGCTTGACGGAAGCGGATATTTGAAGCAGAAGAATGGAAGGAAGACTGGCCCGGTCATGGTTGAAGCTGCTCCTGTGCCCAAGACGAATAGAGGCGAAGTCAAGGGTGAGCCGCTGGAATGGTAAAAAGTATATCATATGTTCTTCTTCTACTAAAGTCCTTTTTTATCTTCCTTTTCTTTTTTTTCCCTTATAACTTCCTTGCAACTTCTTAATTTACGATCTACGGGCTGTTTTTCTTTTTTGGATGTGATAGCGCTCGGGTTGCCACTAGCATCAAAATGCTTTACGTACCTCACGGGTTAATACATACAGTATGACGTGCATATTTGATTGATAAAAAGAATATGATAATGCATACGGATTACATTTGACGTTGTAACTCTGGGAGTTTTCTTTTCTCTACCCCATAAGATTTTATGACCATCTTGCTTCGCGACTGCATAAGTAGTTAGCTATCCTAGATCCTGAAAACTCGGATATGCAATTTATTTGCTTTTCGATTGCGCGCCAAATAACGTTATCTCGAAGATGTGCCCAAAGAGTTATCGTAAAGATGCAGGTGTGGAAACCCACAGGCTGGGATTTCTGGGGATTAAATCTTTGTTTGTCTTGAGTTGCTTTTCCCTCCAACCCTACCAAAGTGACCACCGACTTGCAGTCGACTCATTCGGCAACACGTATGTCCTATGATATTTAATTACTGGGATACACGAAGGAGTCTTTAAAGATGTGCATCCTGCCATTGTTGCATATCTGTGCTAGGAGACGCGTCCCACGTTTAACGACATTGTCCGGGCTGGGCTGTCGCTATCCAGGCAATACGTGAACCTCGTTGGGCCAACGGTATTGACCCCCTCTACCATCTCTCCTACCGGGTGCCTAGATATGTGGCCTGGTGCAAAGGGAATGTTCCCGGGGACTCGACTCCTTCTCCTATTAGTGAGGTCGAATGACTCGGTAATGTGTTCATAGCGATGCAGCGAGTCCAATTCCGAACAGACTGCCTGGGAGGAACCCGTGTGCTACAACCAGGGCAGAGGATGCTTGAATGGACACCTAATCGAAGGCTTCTTGTTTCGCTTCTTCGCTGGAGACGGCCTCGCCTGTGCTCGCTTGCAAATGGGTCGACTTGCTCTTTCCCCTTGACGAGCCATCGGACTCCCCGGCAACACGGTGGCAGGAGAGTTTTCCCGGCTACATTCCTAAGGTTGCCGTCTCATCTCTTGACATATCTACGTCCCCTGACTTTGAAAATTCCTCCTGGATTCGCTTCCGAGCTCAGATGTCGAACACATGAAGCACACTCACACCCGTATCACCTGCGGAATGCCGGCGAGGGCAGTGATTGTATCGATCCTTGTATTGGCTACGTTGGCAGGATGCTGGCCCTACGACCCTAACGAGGTTGGATACAATCTCAACGAAAACAAGAGTGCTGCGCATCCGGCGGAATATTGGGGCCAGTGGCCGGATCACGACTACTTCCCTTCGCCTGACAACTGGAGATTCCCATTCTATACCCTCTTCGTCGATAGATTCGTGAATGGTGACCCGGCCAATGATAATGCTAACGGTACAAGTTTTGAGCGGGATATTAATTCAAACCAGATGCGCCATGGGGGAGATGTTCTGGGGTTGGTTGATTCTTTGGATTATATTAGTGGTATGGGAATTAAGGTAAGGCCTGAGATTCTTTATTGGCTGAGCGAGGCAGCTAACATTCGCCGTATCTACAGGGCATATACATAGCTGGGACAATTTTGATTAACGAACCATGGGGTGCGGATGGATATTCTCCCCTCGATACAACGCTCCTTGATCGTCACTTCGGAGACATAGAGATGTGGCGGTATGCGGTCACAGAGATACATAAAAGAGGCATGTACATCGTCATGGACAGTACTCTAGCAACGTATGCATGCATTTTCTTACATTTGATTTCCTTTTACGCTTCAAACTCATACTAATTTATGCATAGGCTCGGGGACCTTTTGGGCTTCGAAGGTTATCTAAACACAACTACGCCCTTCGAGCGCGCAGAACATAAAGTTGTTTGGAAATCCAACAGGAGATATCTTGATTTCCACCCTGGTAACTCTTATAATGAAACTTGTGACTACCCGAGATTTTGGGATGAGAGCGGGTATCAACTAGAACCATCGGAAACTGGGCTTAGGGGCTGTTATGATAGTGAATTCGATCAATATGGAGACGTTGAAGCATTCGCTGTTTATCCAGATTGGCAGCGACAGCTTGCCAAGTTCGCTTCAGTCCAAGATCGTCTGCGCGAGTGGCTGCCGCCAGTTAGAGAAAAGATTATCAGACACTCTTGCCTGATTATTACACAGCTTGATATCGACGGCATTTGATATGACAAGGCCACTCAAGCTACGATAGATGCATTAGGTGATATAAGCTCGGCATACCGTGCTTGTGCCAGGAAGGTTGGAAAAACAAACTTCTTCCTTCCAGGAGAGATAACTGGTGGAAATACGTTTGGTGCCATCTATATTGGCCGTGGGCGACAGACAGACATGCGACCAAGCAGCTTGAAAGATGCGGTTCGGCTGACTTACGACAACGACACCTACTTCATTCGGAAGAAGGGTAAATCTGCTTTGGATGCTGGTGCTTTTCACTACTCTATCTATCGCAGTTTGACCAGGTTTCTGGGAATGGATGGTAACTTGGAGGCCGGCTTCGATACTTCCCTCAATTGGGTCGAGGCTTGGAACGAAATGCTTCTCACCAACGACTTCATTAACACGAATACCGGTGAGCTTGATCCACGGCATATGTTTGGTGCAACAAACCAAGACGTTTTTCGCTGGCCCTCTCTTCAACAAGGCACCCAAAGATCACTCCTGGCCCTATACATTATCACATTGCACCTTCCTGGCATTCCCTTAGTTCTCTGGGGTGAAGAACAAGCATTTTATATCCTCGACAGTTCAGCGCAGAACTACATTTTTGGCCGGCAACCAATGTCCTCCTCAATAGCTTGGCAAACCCATGGATGTTACAGCTTGGGCTCTTCCCAGTACTATCAGTGGCCACTTGGACCTGCTATTGATGGCTGCCACGATGATGCTGTTAGCTATGATCATAGGGATCCATCTCACCCTGTGAGAAACATCCTAAAGGCCATGTTCCAAATGCGAGAAAATTACGCTACCCTAAACGACGGCTTCTATCTCCAACAATTGTCAAATTTGACTAGGACAATAATTTTTCCCGGTTCTAATGGGGTCGCAACCGAGATTGGCATGTGGTCAGCTTTTCGTGGTCGGCTTGATGGCGTGCAGGATTTGGAGGGTGAGAACCTGCCTGTATGGCTTGTCTATCAGAACGATAATCAAACTGTCGAGTATCATTTTGATTGCGAGAACAAAGCCAAAGCCCTTATCTCCGTTTTTGGCTCGGGCACTACAGTGAAGAATTTATTCTATCCTTACGATGAGCATACTTTGCAAGCCGGCCCTGTGAAACTTGGAATAGAAGGATCAACAGCTTTCAATGGATGCCTTGAGAATCTGCGAATGGATCCCTGGGATTTTAGGGCTTATGTTCCTAAAGCGAAGTTTATCCGACCAAAGCCCATGATCACGAAGTTCTTTCCCGGCCATGATGCTCGTTTAGAATCAAAAGTTGACACCGATTTATATGAAACCGTGCTTTTGGAGGTCCATTTCTCAGACGACATGGATTGCAGCAGTGTTACTCAGAGTTTGTCGCTCAACTCAACAACACACAGCAACAAAATACCTCTGGTTGATTCTGCCAGTGTTCAATGCACCTCTTTTGAGCCCGAAAGGACAAAATTTCCCGGCGAAATACCCGGAACCTGGAAGTGGTCAGCGAATCTTACCAGGGTATACAACGGCATTCATCAGTTGCAGTTCGACAATCCAAGAGCAAAAGATGGGAAACAGAGTACTGATAACGTGGACCGATTTCTCTTTCGTATTGGACAAGCGAATAACCCGATGGTGTTTACTCGTGCCGCAAATTATTCACGCACTTTGTTACATAGGAATGAGAAGGGTCACCTGTATGTGGCTCACCACGCTGCTGGTGCAGACTCTTACCGATATTCCACTAATTGGGGCTTGACTTGGTCAGACTGGCTGCCTTATAAAGGTGGAAACGATACATTGAATAAGCAAGGATGGTCTGGAACCAAGAAGCAGCAGTGGATTGGAGAGCATGTGATTGTCGAATACTGGAACCGCATGGTAGGGAGCAGTAGCCATATGCAACACGGCGATGTTGACTGGGAAAGTGACCATCCACGAAGATTTCCTCATCTCTTTTGGAACGGTCCACACAATCAGTATGGCTATGATGCCGGCGTTCGCAACCAGATGCAGTTCAACGATAACGGACAATGGGCCATTCGTTTTATGACCGAGTGGCCGGCCTTGGCTCAGGTGAACGTCTGGGGTATGAATGCAGATGGTAACCCCGATAAGACGTACGTTTTCGGCGATCCTGACAGCAATTCTGTCTTGGACCGCCTTCCACCTTCGTCGTTGAAGAACGCCCTCGTAAATATAACCGAACACCCCCCTTCACCATACTTATCTTGGGAATTTTTATTGGACGATGGGACACTTTATTTCGAATTGGTTCCGCGTGGATCAATGTACCAGCAGATGGCTCTATTTTTCCTCTTGCTGATACTACCTCTTGCAACCGCCGGGGGTAACCTGTATGCCTTCAAATGCTACTTTTGCCGGATTACATTCAACAACAAAGGCAGCGCGGGGGGTGGACAAGGGCTCTTGCTTCTGCCCGGAAGCAATGACTATAAAATCTCTGGGCTACTGAGAACATTGGCGGACAAGTGCAACCTTTTCCCAAGAAGCAAGGAGCTCGGTTTCTCCGCCAACACTCGACGTACTGTCCTTATTGCCACAATGGAATATGACATTAGGGACTGGGAAATCAAGATAAAGATCGGCGGACTTGGAGTAATGGCGCAATTGATGGGACATCGCCTGGGACATGTGAATTTGGTCTGGGTCGTTCCCTGCGTCGAAGATGTAAGCTATCCGATTGACCAAAAAGCGCAACCGATGATTGTGAAGTCGCTCGGCAAGGATTGCATTGTGGGCGTCCAATACCACATCACGAAAAATATCACATATATACTCCTGGATGCCCCGATATTTCGGAAGCAAAAGAAGAATGACCCCTATCCCCCTCGGATGGACGATCTTGAGAGTGCTATATATTACTCTATTTGGAACCAATGCATTGCGCAAATTATGCGGAGATTTCAAATTGATATATACCACATCAACGATTATCACGGCGCGCTTGCTCCTCTATACATACTCCCAAAGACTGTACCAGTGTGCCTATCCCTCCACAACGCCGAGTTTCAGGGCCGCTGGCAAATTCGCAGTGATGATGATATGACAGAGTTGTGTAGTGTGTTCAATATTTCCGAGGATATTACACGACGTTATATTCAATTTGGGGAGGTGTTCAACTTACTGCACGCTGCTGCGAGCTATTTACGGATTCACCAAGGCGGTTTTGGGATACTTGGCGTGTCCGAAAAATATGCCGAAAGGTCTTATAAAAGATATCCCATCTTTTGGGGGCTGAAGGCCGTGGGCAAATTACCCAACCCAGATCCTCAAGATGATAATGAAGTGGTCGAACTCGACCCTCGATTTGAGAGCTTAAAGGCTCAATTGAAGAGGGAGTCACAAAAATGGGCTGGTCTTGACCAGGACCCCAACGCCCATCTGTTTGTTTTTGTCGGAAGGTGGTCGGACCAAAAAGGAATTGACCTTATTGCGGACGTCTTTCCCCATCTTCTCGAGACTCGACAGGACGTACAGCTTATTTGTATGGGGCCAATTATTGATTTTTATGGGAGATTCGCCGCGTTAAAACTCCACAAGCTTATGGAGATGTACCCAACCCGAGTATATTCAAGACCGAAGTTCACAGTTTTTCCCAATTGCGTGCGGGAAGGGGCTGATTTCTTATTGATACCATCAAGGGATGAGCCATTCGGCCTGGTAGCCGTCGAATTTGGTCGCAAAGGCGTCATTGGAATAGGCGCTAAAGTTGGGGGGCTCGGCAAAATGCCAGGATGGTGGTATTCGGTTGAATCTACTGCAACTCGTCACTTGCTACATCAGTTTGAGCGAGCCATCAATCAGGCGCTAAGGGCGAGGCCGGAAGTCCATGCTAAAATACGCGCTAGATCAATAACGTAGAGGTTCCCGGTCTCACAATGGGTGGAAAGGCTCGATATTTTACACATCAATGCCATGAGGATCCATGAGAGATATCGTAATTCACCTACTCCCAAGGCTCAGAATCCGAAGGACCAAAGGCGCAGAACTCAAAGCGACTTCCAAAATACCGACCACCCAGAGGCTGATTTGTTAAATTCTCTGCATCCCGTCTTTCCTCCCAGTGATCGACTTGTAGGACTACGCAGTGGCCATACCGTTTCCCTAGAATGGCTGATTTCTGCTTGCAAAATGTGGATCCTAGCTTCGACGATCAAAACGGCAAATTTACGGAAGAATTTATGATGAAACTCGAACTTTTGAATGGGAACAACTCCATGAAGTCCTTGTGTATCGAGGAGTTCATAGTCAAGAGCCAACGACAGTGGTACAAAAGACTCAGCAACGCCTTCTTGGGTAGAGCAAAGGATACCATTCCGTTAGAGAAATCTACCGTGGAAGACCTTCTGACTCTTCCACCTGCTCTTAGCGAAGATTTAGAATCTGGCAGCATCGAGGATAGTAAAGGCGGCAAGTCCGCAACTGGTCTTAAGCGAATGATGCTGTATCGTGTTGGCTATTGGCCTGTTTATTCGTTCTTCCTTGCCTTCGGGCAGATAATTGCGGTAAACTCTTACCAGATAATGCTCCTCACTGGAGAGATTGGTGAAGCAGCCAAGAAGCTATACGCTATTGCATCGATATATCTTCTCGGCTCTATTTTGTGGTGGTTGATGTTTCGAAAATTCGAGTTAGCTACTACGCTCTCTAGTCCGTTTGCGGCATATAGTTTTGCCTTTCTTGTTGTCGGCTTTGCCCAGATTTGGCATGCCAAAGGACGTTTGCTTCAGAATATTGCTGCTGGTGTATATTCATTCGCTTCAGCGAGCGGATCTGTCTTCTTTGCCTTGAATTTCAATGATGAAGCAGGTAGCCAAGTGAGAGACTGGGTGTTTAGAGCTTGCATTATTCAAGGTACACAACAAATATTTGTGGTTGCCTTGTGGTACTGGGTTTCAAAGTTGTCGAAGAGTATGGCTGAAGGGATGAATCAGACCGAGAGATTGGGTTCATGGCAAATCCAGTAAGTATTAACTATATAGTCCCTTTATTCCGAATTGTAGTGGGACTAGAACTAACACTGAAGCGATGAGGTCCATCGTATTTCCTGTTGCTTGTGTGCTGGGTGCCATTGGGGTCATTATTTATCTTGGGCTTCCAGACTGCTACCGGGGCCGTAGCGGGAAAATTCCCTCGTTTTACACTTCTGTCTTCCGCCGCAATATTATCGTATGGTTTTTTGCCTCTGTGGTCATAGAGAACTTCTTTCTCAGTCCGCCTCAGTCCGCCTTATGGTCGCAATTGGTGGTGTGAGTCTCGTCGACCCCCGGATGCCATTGGGTGGTCAATTATGTTCGGCTAATTAACGAAAGTATTATAGTCCTCTGGAGCTCCAAACGTACGGAATCGTGGCAAGTCCTATTGCTTATCTTTGTGTTTTTCGTGTTTGTTTGGTTTACGATGCTTGGTATCTATATCTTGTGGGCTAGATTCTGGGGACCTTGACTGACGACGCAGATCAGCTCTTTTAAGAAAAATGTCCAAAAACCATACTTAGGCATTACCAGTATTTGCAGTAGGGCTTGGTGAGTTCACGCTCTTTGATTCGCTGTTGCCTTCATAACTGATATCTTTCAAGGCGCGCCAAGATGGGCGCAGATATGGTGGGCAACAAGTAATATTGGCCAATTCATCCCATGGGCAGGAAGCTACACAACAGGCGCTCTTGTTTCCCGAGCCTTATGGCTATGGCTCGGGGTATTAGATTCTGCGCAAGGCATTGGCTTTGGAACAACTCTTCTGCAAACATTAACCCGGGTCCATATATGCTTCACACTCCTGGCAGCGCAGATGTTTGGATCGGTGGCAACCATGCTAGGCCGTGCTATTTCTCCCAATAACATCGGTCCTGGAAATGTGCATCCTGACATTTCAGGTGGAGCTAATGCTATTCTGACCCCTTGGTTTTGGATCACGTTACTATTACAGCTTGCTATTCCGTAAGTTACGGCCTCTTCCTTTTGCGGAACACAGTGCACTGATTCTTGGGACATAGGGTGGGCTTCTTTTTGTTTTTCCGTACAGAGCAGCTAAGTAAACCATGAAACTGGAACCTTCTTTGTCAGATAGCAAGTCATGAGGATAACCCACCTGGGCATCTGACGTGCACGACGTTTTGTGTTTTCTTAGTCCACTTTTGAAAATCAGCCGGATTTATAAGGAGTTTTGGCCATGGCTGTCAGTTTTGTGCTTTTGTTATTGTGTTCTGTCTTTCTCAATGTAGTAATGAAAGTGTCACCCGAGTTCCAAAGGGAGTGTTGTATCTTGGCCGGTCTGACCTGCAGATGGCCAAGGACACTGGCAACGCGAGCATCGTGACTTGAAGGATGTTTTGTCTATTATGATTCGATGAATGTCTTTTTCTTCGGTGAATACACGTTTCGTAAGCCGTAAGCAAAATTTTCATTCTTCAGCGCCGTATTGCGCCCGATACTCCTTCAACCGTTTTAGATTCTCCTCGCCAATGTCATTTCCAAGCTTTTCGATAATATCACTTAAACTCAGCACCGCTTTCACAGGCACATTTTCTCCCAGGTCCCTCTGAGCGCAACCAACAGCGCTTTTTTTCTCGTTGTCGTTCACCCGCTCTTCTCTGTCCAAGAGCACCAAGACGCCCACAACTGTGCCACCTTCCTTCTCAATGATGCCGACGGCCTCTCTCAGTGCTGTGCCGGCTGTGATGACATCGTCAATTATGACGATTTTCTTTCCCTTCAGGGGGGCACCGACTATGTTCCCACCTTCGCCGTGAGCCTTGGCTTCTTTCCGGTTGAACGAGTAGCTGATGTTGTTCCATGCGCCGGTTGTGTCGCGGACGCCCAGCTCGTTCAGGACGGCGGTGCAGAGCGGGATGCCCTTGTAAGCGGGGCCAAAGATGATGTCGAAGTTTGGGCGCGGGGTGCCATCGGGGGTAGAGGTGGTTACGAACGGAGGGGAGGAGAGGACACTGGCACAGGCGGATGCGGTTGCGTGTAGGAGAGGCGCAGTGTGCAGGAGGGTGGTGGTGAAGAAGTAGGGGGAGTTGCGGCCGGATTTGAGGGTGTAGGAGCCGAAGGAGAGGACTTTGTTGGAGATCAGATGGGAGAGGAGGTTGGTTTTGTAGTCGGGAGAGGCGCTCATTTTTGGAACTTGCGATTTTCTTAGGGATAGTTGGGTATGTGCAATGGGATTGTTAGATTTATTCGGGGGTAGGATCCTCTTGGCCTTGCTTCTTCCTTTTTTCCTTTTTTCTTTTTTTTTTTTTTTTTTTTTTTTTTTTTTCTGGCTCGTGTGTGTGCTTTCGCGGGGAGGGGTATGGCGGGGTCTAGGATTGAGGATGTGTTAGTGATCTGTACCACGAGAGACGGTAAATGCTCCGGACGGTCTTACAGAGACGGTTCCTCCTGGAATACTTCAATTCCGGGCTTCTTTGCTTCCGAGATTCGTCTCAGCCGTGGACTACAGAGGTTGTTGATACGCTTCTGGCCGGCTCGGTGATGTCGCCCTGAAGTTTGGCTCGCTCCACCCCTCGACGCTTGGCGGCCATCTCTGCTGCTTCAGCTTTGCTCGAGGCTCTTGAGGCCGGGGCTGTACGGGGTACATTGTTTTCCCATTTAGTTTCCGCGCATGTCGATGCAATTCGATCAGGGAATGAGTGACACTAGGGCACTACTCACGCCCGGCGCTTCTGGATCGACGTCGAACAATGCTTCCTGGCTGACCGCCATGGTCTGGTAATTATATTGAAAAGCTTCATCTGCACGCCCAGGGAATGATCAGATGGCTGGGTTGAGGCATGATAATCTCCAGACCGTTATCCAATGGCTTGCTCGATGGTATCGGAGCGTATGCTGAGCTGCAGAGTGAATGAAACCTCAAAACTACAAGTTGTGAAGCTGGTTTTATATTGGTTCACATTATCTGCAAATTGAACAGTACAAATTTGTGTCTTTACCAAGAATTCTGAGGCATTTGCCTAGTTGACAGTTCCCGCCGGCAATTGACTGGCGCCGATCATCCGCGAATGAAGGGGGTCCGATCAAGCGCAGAAGCTGACGACGCAGCCGGCACGGTCCAAGGATAATTAACTGTGAGCTAATTTATTAGTTATCTGGGTCTCTGAGAGGGACCCGACATGGTGCGTCAAATCCCCATTCTCGGGCGGCTTAACTTGCCCGCCGCAAGATACTCCGTATATGTCTTCGGAGATCCAAACACCGAACGGATCGGGATGGCCACCAGCTAAGGATCGGCCACCGCTGGGCCTGGTGAGATTATGTACGGAGTCCGGAGTAGCTCGCCACCGTTATCTGTCGCGCTGGCCTTCGTATCGCGGGAACGGCGCTATGGGGAGCATGGGTGCAAGGACGGTGAAGGAGTAGCGCCAGCTGTTGTTGTCATAGCGTTCCCTTGGCCTTTGCTGCCACTGGTCACAACCCCTGTGCCTGGTTATGATCCGGGGAGTGGATCACTTCCTGAATGTGTGCACGGATTGAACAAAGAGACAGGCCTCAAAACCCAAGAGACTGGATGTGCGAGTGAGTTGTCCGTATGTATGAATCAGCTGGACTCAACGGCAAGCTCTCTCCTGTCACGCAGGCGTGCACAGGCTGCTTGTTTTTTTTTGTCGCTGCATGACAGATAATGTAGTTAGTTGGTTAGATAGTTTTGGAACCCAGGGCCGCCCCCAAATAGCTGTCTGTAGCCAACGACAGATGTATTAACTCTATCTCGGGGTCAATGACGGATTTTTGAGACCGTGATGCTGAGACCGGAACTGGTCGCCGCGGTTTGCTGCCGGAGACTTTGAGCAGAAGCCGACCCGCCTACGGAGCGCTGAGGAACTCAAGTTTGCGTTTCCGCCCGCCCAAAACTCTCCTTTCACCTTTGCACATCTCCAGCCAGAGCTCCGCTTCCGTCGAGACTGCAACTTCTTCTCTTCTCTGTAAGTCTTCCCAGCCCTTTCTCTGCAGCATACAGCCACCGGCGATTGAATTGAACTACATCTCTAACAGTACACTCCAGCGCTTTCGGACCCTGCTGCCCCGGCATCCAGGTGCTCGAGCCAACAAGCCCATTGAGAGCGTACGGACCACCAACCGCTCATTTCTTGCTGCTAACTCTTGCTCTTTTACCAAAAATCCCCTGAGGCCGTTTCTTGTAATCTTCTCTGCCTGCTGATCTGTTGTACATGTTGCGGGAGCTAGCAGACAGGTGGGCCCGCAAGAGATACCTTGGTTGAAGTGTGCTGTGAGCAAGTGTAACTGGGAAGAGCAACCGATTATCCGCTTGAGTGAACGTTTGCAGTTTTCGTTCAAACGTCCCAAGCGTCGATTGGCTCTTTGAACCTGTGTCATTGGAGTGGAAAGGTATGTCCCCGGTCCTGTCTTCTCCCGTCTGGCTGTCTGCCGTAGTGAATGCGGGGCGAGAGTGAAGAGCGGGTGACAGTTGTGCATTTCCCTGCAATGCGAACTCCACAACCCTTGGTGGCATCTTCTTGAGTGCCTTGAGCTCTCTCTCCCCTTCTATTTCGCTGTGCCTTTTGAATTTTTCATTTCTGACTCGATCTTGGTTTCCTATTAGATACCCCAAGATGCACGTCAAGGAGAAGCTGGCCCATTCGGAGGCCTCCGGGCGCCCGAGTATTTCGTTTGAGTTTTTCCCACCCAAGACCGCGCAAGGTGTGCAAAATCTTTACGATCGTATGGATCGCATGCACGGACTTGGTCCTGCTTTCATAGATATAACGTGGGGTGCTGGAGGTCGACTGTCGGATTTAACATGCGAAATGGTCAACGTCGCCCAGTCGGTCTACGGCCTTGAAACATGTATGCACCTTACCTGCACCGACATGCCGCGAGAAAAAGTTGATTGGGCCCTACAGTGTGCCCATAAGGCCGGCTGTACCAACATCTTAGCGCTCCGTGGCGATCCTCCCCGAGAAAAAGAATCATGGGCTCCCACAGAAGGTGGGTTCCGGTATGCAAAGGATCTCGTCAAGTACATTCGGGAGAAATATGGCAACCACTTTGACATCGGAGTCGCGGGCTATCCGGAGGGTTGCGAGGATGAAGAAGACCCGGAGACTTTGATGAAGCATCTGAAGGAGAAAGTCGATGCTGGCGGAACGTTCATAATTACTCAGATGTTCTACGACGTTGATATCTTCCTTGACTGGGTGAAAAGGTGTCGTGAAAACGGAATTCAAGTTCCAATCCTTCCTGGGATCATGCCTATATCTACTTATGCCTCCTTCTTGAGAAGGTCGAACTGGGTGAAGTGTAAGGTCCCGGAATCATGGATGGAGGCCTTGGAACCTGTCAAGAACGACGACGCCGCTGTGAAGCAAATCGGCAAAAAGCTCGTCGCTAATATGTGCCAGAAGATTCTTGACTCGGGGATTCGCCATTTGCACTTGTAAGTTATCCGGTGTTACATTGTTAACGAAAACTTTTTCCCTCCTCACTAACACTTGAAAACTTAGTTACACTATGAATCTGGCTCAAGCTACGAAAATGGTTCTTGAGGAGCTTAAGTTGATCCCATCGTATGAGACTCCTCTTCAAAAGCCTCTGCCATGGCGACAATCCCTCGGTCTTGGACGAAGAGACGAAGACGTTCGCCCAATCTTCTGGAGACACAGGCATCAGTCATACGTTGCTCGTACACAGACTTGGGATGAATTCCCCAACGGTCGCTGGACTGATTCTCGCTCTCCTGCCTTCGGTGAACTCGATGTCTACGGCATAGGCCTCAAGGGTACTAACGAGCAGAACATTAAACTCTGGGGAGAACCAAAGTCCATCAAAGACCTATCGGCAATCTTTATACGATTCCTTGAGGGTGGCCTCGACAGACTTCCCTGGAGCGAGAGTCCTATAACAGAGGAAACCGACGACATCAAACAAGACCTGATTGATTTAAACAATCGAGGGTTCCTGACCATTAACTCTCAGCCAGCTGTTAATGGCATGTCCTCTTCCCACCCGGTCTACGGATGGGGACCGAAAAACGGTTACGTATATCAGAAAGCATACCTCGAACTGCTCATACCTCCAGAAGTGATCGGGGAAGTAATCCGTCGCATTGAGAAGAACCCCGATCTTACGTACTACGCTATTAACAAAAATGGCGAATTGAAAACTAACACCAGCGATAGTCCCAATGCAGTGACTTGGGGTATTTTCGCATCTAAAGAGGTTATTCAACCCACGATTGTTGAAACAGTCAGCTTTTTGGCATGGAAAGACGAGGCATTTCGATTGGGAGATGATTGGGCAAAATGCCACGACGCTCGTAGCCCCAGCAGGCAGCTTATCCAACGTGTCATGGATGAGTGGTACCTTGTTAACATCGGTAAGATGGGCTGAACCTACTTTTTAAAGGCACTCAAATTCTAACAGCATGTAGTCAACAATGATTTCCACAAAACACACGACATCTTCGATCTCTTCAATGATATCGTGGTGAAGGATCTTGATGTGGAAGCTACCGGCATCGAGGAACCAACCTCGCAACCAGCCAACACCAATCCAGAGCGGCAGAATGGCGATGCTGCTCAGACCAAAGACATCTCAGTCGCTACCAATGGAACCTCAAACTGATTTTTGGACTTACGATCGAGTCCCGCGGCGTTCTGTATTACCCCTTCACCCCATTCCAAATCCTCTGGGTCAACGAACCTTCGATGCCCACAACCACCATTCTTCTCACATATTCCACGAGTACAGAAACACAAAAAAACAAGATACACACTTAACAATGGCATGGTGTTCAAGGGGTTTCTCTCATTCTCGAAACCGAACCAAGGGCAGTGTTCTCAAAACAAGGAGAAAGTTGGCAAAAAAACTGATTCTACATACAACCCCGGAGATGAAAACAACAGGAAGGCCGGTCATGAAATTTTCAACACTTCAATTTAATTTTCAACAAAATAAGACCGTGATAACTTAATTCTAAAAGGGGGGAGGCCTTTTTTTTCTCTTTTAACATATTAAAATGAATAGATGGATATACCTTTGGGGGGGCGGGTGATGACAAAATGAAATCTTCAACACGATTATTGACTGAGCATTGGCGATCTGGAACGACTTTTGGGCATTGACCTTGTTTTCCCCTTTCTAATAGACTTTCTACGTTTTCTTTTTTCTTAATGTTTTTCCTTCTCGGCTGCTGTCATGACCTTTTTCTTTTTTTCCTTTTTTCTACTTCGGATACTGTGATTTCCTTGTTCTTGTAACTACAGGGCATCTCTTCGATCCAAGCTTCAACAATTGCTTTTGAAGAGAAAGGACAAATCTAGCATCAATGTGGACATGGAATGACCAGAAGCAGAGTTGTATTCAGTATGACTTTTCGTATTTATCAACAGGCACCTTGAGCTGAAGAGCACATCTATGCAAACGGATTAAATGACTTCAGAGGTGGATTAAAGTACTTCGGTCGGGCTAGGACATCCACCTATGTAGCAAAAGCAGACTGCTCATGTACATACCATCCTGCACGATCAGTTTCACGACCCAGCCATTTTGAAGCCCGAATGTAAAGATACAAATAAAACGGCTCCACGTTACATATGCCACCAAAGCGAGTGTAATGAAGCTAGTACACTGATACCTCGCATTCGACAACACTTCTTTTGCAACAGTTTTCCCTTCGAGATGCTTGGGGTTGGAGAGAAAATGCTCGCAGGTTTCCAAGGAGATCTGGAAGCAGGATAGAAGGATATTCATAATACAGTGAAGAATCATACGGAGGCAGAAGGATGCACAAGCACAAGCGCAGTGCGTGCTGTACGATGTAATATCACGGCTGCAGACCGCCGCCCTAGGGATAGGCCCATCCGTACCCATACCCTTGGCCTGGTCCACGGGATTGCGCGTAATTACTGTATGATTTTGGTAGCCGGCGGCGGCTGGCCCTTCGGCGGGTTTCTTTTGAGAGGCGAGGTAGGCAGATGCAGAACGCAGTTCTGTCTTTTCGGCGGGATTTGGATCTCCTTTTCGGTTTGGACTCGTGATTACGCCATGGAGTCCGGTCATGTGGGGGGTAATGTTGGTCATAGTGGTAGTGATAGTGGATGCAGCCTCCTGGAAACTGGCTTTGGGACATAAGATTGTAAGGCTCTTGCGGTCTCTCCAGTCCAAAAGACCGCCCGAGCACATTCTGAAATGCAGGCCCTGAGCAGGTTCTACACCTCCCATTTGAATATTGTTTTTTGCCAGCGAAGCTTCTTGGTTTCGCCACACTTTCAACGATGTAGCCGTCATCATCCGTGACGATGGGGCAGCGAGGTCGCCTGATTTTCTTCTCTCTGCGCCCTTCGCCCCGATGCTCCCTAAAAAATGCCTCTGTTCAGAAGGCAGAGCTGGGTGGCGGGTAGTATCTATAGGTTCTTGGATGTAAGCACACCTTGCTGCGTGTCCAGTCACACCTCCTAGCCGGTCTTTGCTATAGTCTCGACTTGACAACGATTTGGGCGGTGTACCCGAACTATTTCGGACAGGCTCTAAAGGGGGATTATGATCCGGAAATGTTTCTCCGTTCTTGTAAATTTTGTCGATTGCCTTCTGAAACTCCCAGATCTGCTGAGTCGTCATGGTCGGCGGGCAGGGTTCCCTAGCAGACGGCATATTGACGACAAATCGGTCCTCAACTTGAGAGTGCGGAACACCGCTTTGGTGTAATCTGCGAACGTAAGACCGTGCTCTATCTTCGATATTGACTACCCGGTCTGCATCGAGATTTCCAGCACCTGGAGAAGGGAGTGGTGTCTCCTCGTTTCTATCGAGACTTATCCACTGATCACCCTTTAGACGCCATTTTTTGTTCGTTTTTTGGTCTTTTTGGTCGACCAGTTCCTCCAGCGAACCAGAAGTGTCGGAATGGCTACTGTAGGTGGTAATGCTCGGGCTAATGACGCCGGTTCTTGGATTTGCACCGCGAGCGGTTAAATAATCATCGCGACTAACAGTGCGTTTATGTCCGTGTTGATCCGCCCAAGAGCTTGCAGTGATATTTGGAGGATTATACGTATCAAATAGCGTCTCATCCTTCAGCCTCCTTACTGTTTCCACGTCACTGGTGGTCTCCCGTGAGTTGATCTGCCCGGCCTCTCCGATAGCAGCTTTTTTCCCCTTCCTTTTGCGGCCCCTGAGCTTTAGAAGGTAGCTCCTACTAGGGCTAGCAGGGTCCGGTGGTCCATGCTCTCCGCGACCGTTTAACCCGGGTTTGTCTCTCGACTCGGATCCATAGAACAACGAACTCTTAACACGTCTTGTCCAAGAAGGACGCCCTTTGCTCTCGCGGTGGTGTTTAGTTGGAGGTTTCTGGTGAGAAATGCGTGGAGAGGAAGAGGTGCTCGAATTTGACATCTCGGCAATCGCTGGCCACATGACTCAATTTTTCGGGGGAAAAAGAAAAGGCCTGAAAATAGTAACAATACGTGTAGCAATATCAATTCAATGAAGCCTTGAAACGAACGCAGGCCTCTCAAAGCGAGGAATAGGGCCGGTGGCACCCTTGGGGGACGAACATTGCCAGCAGCAGCAGAGAAGCTCAACAGCGATGGAGACCGTGCACGTAGATATAGAAAAAGAAAAATTTTCCCAGGAGGCGCAATTGCCATCGGTTGTTCGGTGTAGCCAGGAAGGCGCATCTTCGCCCATAGCATCAATACGATAGAAGTTCAACGGCAAAACAGCAAGCAATGTAGCGTACAATGATTTTTCCGTTGTTGTTATGCCATATCTCACTGGGAAATATACATGTAAAAGCTCATGATTCATCTCAGATGAATAATAATAATCCTTCAAATCAAGAAATATATTGAGAATGAGAACGCCAAAGATGCATCTGTAGGAGCCAACCATAGGGACACGAACGCCATAAAAAAGGCCATAATGTAATATAGTTCAAGTGAATAAAACGGTAAATGTCATCAAACTCTGCCACTTTCCCTTCTTCCACTTGGAGTAGCCAAGTGACCCCATCTTTGAGCGGCTGCGGACGCGCTTATTCCCCCAGGAACACTGGATCTTTTCAGAGGACTGCTGGGCAATCTCGCAGGACTCTGGGCATGATCTCTACTCTCATAATCACCACGGCGATGTGTACTGCGTTGGTCTAAATTTGTCGGTATATTTCTCTTCAATGGGGATTGCGCATGGGAATATACACCCAAGCTACCGCCGTCACCCATACTAGGCGTTGGACGGAAATGTGGCTGTCGAAGAGCGCTTTGCGATATCAGTGGAGAAGAATCAATTCCATACTTCGGTGTTTGTACGCTTGAAGCCTTCGTTGAGCCAGAGAAAGACGTCCTGGGAGTGGAAAATAACTGTCTGCGCGGGGTACCCTGTACACCTTTCGACTCGGGGTCAATATGTTGGAGATAATTGGGATTAGGATTAGTTTTAAATCCGTGACGCATCACAGTCGGTGTGTACGTCTCCACTTTATTGTACTTCTCGTCTTTATGAGGCTGGTACGAGTCGGCGGTGTTGAACTGTGTTGCAACGTCACGCATCAAAGGCTGTGTCCGTGGATGGACATACTTGATGTCATATTCATTCAGAACCTCTTTATGTATCAACATGGAGTCCTTCGACTGCTGCGTGAACGAAGATGAAAGGGTGGACAGCTGAACCGTGAAGAGGGTGGCCAGGAAAATGGTTGTCACAATAGTCATGCTCGGTCGGGGGTCAGACGGCGCGGTGGGAAGAAAGAGCCAATACACAAGAACGTGCCCAGGGCTAAACAGACAGAACAGCCTAATGGCCAAAGGATGAGGGTCCCAGACACCGATTTGCCAGACGTCCCGTTCTGGCCTGGGATGCGATCTGCTCTCTGCAGAACCGGATGATAACACGTTGGAAATGAGGCGCAATGGGGACGAAGAGCGCGGAGACGATGCCACTTTGACTCGCTGCGCAGAGGGAGTTGCGGGAGTATTATCGATGGATGCCTCGAATAGTCGATAAGTCCGCTTTCGATTGAATGTGTATACTGCGTTCAAGACCGACAGGAGAGCGAGGAGGTGCACGATAAACGAGGCCTAACAGTCAACAGACCCCAGGTATCAGCAGCTTTGCCAAAACGCAATAAGTGAAGATGTCGACTCGGTTTCTTACCAACCAATTCAACCAGCTGATGCCGCCATTTTCTCCAAAAACATCATCGTACGCCTGGCTACGACTGCGACTGTTCGCACGCGCGAGCAGAAATAGACAGTTGATGCCAACGCCTAACGGTATAGCCCACTCCCTTTCCCACTGCGCCCAGTCATTCGAGTCAAATTCTTCCGATAACCACAGCAGAAAGTCGAGCGGGTTGAGGTATGCTTTCAGTCGTTCGAGGAACGGTCGTCGCCTGATTAGCCGGGGCATCACGAAGGGAAAATTTTCGATGGAGCTTCCACCAAGGGAGAAGAAAGAAAGAGACGCCAAATTGGCAATACTGCAAGACACCAGAATGCTCTTATGCGCCCAAGTCTGCCGCCTTCATGATTAACACGCCGTCTGCGCCATATCCCTTGCAACAGGTTCTTCTCACCAGTGAAAACCGGGAAGATACGTAAACAAACAAAGTTCCGCTTTCTGGCCCACAGTCAAACACCGTGCTTAGTCAGATAACTATGCACGGACCGCCAGCGCCCGCCTACCATGAAACTGCACCGACCGCGGGTCGTCCTAGAGAACCAGCTTGCTCCTTTGTGGCCGCGGGAGCCGAGTCCGAGTTATTGCGAATAACACTATTTCATTTACCTTGCTTTATACGTCTTCTGGCATTCTACGCTAGGCTTCTGTTAATTTTCACCCTACATCCTGCCAACATGGCCTCAGGCCCCAGTGTCTCAAAGGTACACCCATACATCCTTACTTCCGCCGTTGTGGAAAATACACGCATGTTAGCTAACCCGATCCTCTCCAGGAGCGCCAATTCCTCGCTGTCATAGGTGATGAAGAGTACGTTTAAGTCTTCCGAAACCTTGAAAATCGAGATCACATACTTACCGCGCCAATCGAATCGCAGCTCCGTCACGGGTCTATTACTCGCCGGCATCGGTGTATGTTAGCTTCTGTCCTTGAAATCCCCGTTCAACTCCGTAAGAAAGAGGCAAAACAAAAAAAGACTGACTTTTGAATAGCATGTAACCGACCCTCCAGATTCCCAACGTAATTTCGTCGTCGTAGACTCGAAGACCGAGACCTCTGCCATTGAAAAAGCATTCCACAACTTCACCCAGGAACGAAAGGACATTGGTGTCTTATTAATAAATCAGCATGTATGTCATGGGCTGAAGAGAGAAAAGAAGAGTTCCCGTCCCTTTTCCGACATATACTAAAGGTCATCAACAATCCACGTATAGATCGCGGAACGGATACGAAACAGCGTTGATAACTTCACGGAAGCATTCCCGGCGGTACTCGAAATCCCGAGCAAAGACCATCCGTATGACCCTGAGAAGGACAGTGTGCTCCGGCGCGTGAGGAGATTGTTTGGAGAGTAAATATTACCCGTTATATTCTAATGATGTTACGAAATTAGCACGGATATTCGATTTGCGACAGGTCAGGGCCCAGGGATGTTGAAGCACGGTGCTCTTGGGTGCTACGCCACTGACGCTGACATGGGCGCTGCTGGATTCTTGAGGCTGAAGTTTCTAATCGTCAAATGTCCAGGGAGAAATACGGCCATAATCTGTGCTCCCCCCCTTTTTTTTTTAAGGAAATTGGGAATCACGCTGTGTATTTACAATTGGATACCCTCATGAAAGCATGCACTACACATATTGCAACATTATGTATTTGCATTGTTGTGATTTAGGTTGATGACGTATAAGTATTTCTAGGGAGACACTCATAAACCATATGGCTTCTATTAGTTCTGGATCCAATGACGCAGGTGTAGAAACATAATCGCTTGTCTTGCAGTGAAAAAATATCGCTTGAACCTGAAAGCTAAAATCATCATGATTGAACCGAGAAACAGACCCAGTGCGCCACGTCACTGCGTATCATCGATACATTAATTATCACGCAAAAAGGTGGGGGAAAACAAACTCTCGAGGGTACAGAAGACACCGAGTAGAATGGTGAAAAAACACATTGACCATTAATCATTCATGGAACTAGAAGCGTCTTCCGGTGGCATAGCGGTAAGTGAGATAGAGTGTGGTATAGTGAAGTCGGCAGGCGTTACAAGAGGATTATAGGTCGTGTGGAGATTGTGGGACTGCGATGAAGCCGGTCTCGAGGCAGGCAGGACGGACGGAGCAAGGGAAGCAGAGGCGAATCCCAAATTAGCGTCCAAATTCAAAGGTAACAGCAGCATGGAGACAAGTAACTTTCTCATCGTCCTTCGTGAGAACATCAGCATTGACGGTGTATGTGCCCTAATATACTCGTCAGCATTCCCACATTTGGCACAGCAAACAGAACAGGGATGCACATACTGGTGGAATTTCCTTTGGAAGATCGATGTTTTTGGTGAAGGTCATCTTTCCTTTCTCGAGAGGGCAGTGGAGATCAACGTTCTCAATTTGATCACACAGATCTGCGGTCTGGTTGATCAATCGGATAAGGCCGTATTTCACCTGGAGCAGGACCTTTGCGCCCCTGTCGACCTGCTTGGAGAAGGTACCGCTAGCCTTGATGGTGAGAGTCTTGCCTCTATGTCCGGCAGGTTAGCCCATCCAGAAGTAAACGCAACGACGATCAGTCAGGCCTTGGGGAAACTTACGGAAGTGGAGGATTTGGGAACAGGTCCACACGCTCGATGGTCAGGATATCAGTTGCGGGGGAAGAGCAGAAGCTTAAGGGATTCTCTCCAGGAACCGAGAGGTCATCGTCAATCTGGATAGGTGACTGGTCTTTCCACAGGGCAAGAGAAGGCGCCGCCAGAGCGACCGGGGAGAAGAGGAGAGTAAGAAACGCGGCAGCGCTGGAGACCTTCATCCTGCAATGAGTGTTCTTCGACGTAGAATGAGAAGAGAAAGGTTCCTCAGTGGACAGAGCGGACAGGATGAGGAAGACTCGTGGAGGCCTGACGTCGGCAATAGACGGGCGTCGTTGGCTGGTGGAGGTGACGACTGGGGAAACTTACAAGGTTGACGGTGGAACGGGAGAGGATGAGATCACATGGGACCCAGCTGACGGGGGCGTCGATGCGCCTAACCCTAACCGGCACTAGCGCACTTGGCAAGCCGCATGCAGAGCACAAACGAAAAGCCTTTCTCGTGATCTCTCCGTCCGGAAGCGGTGCGCTAGCTCTTCCGCCTGCGTCGAAGGGAGGCCGCCGACTGGAGCGACGATGACCATGGTAAAAGTGTTACGGAGAGGAGATACAACACGGAGACGGGCGCCTGAAAAAAACCTTCCATGAATTAATCTGCGTTTTCCGTTATGTGGATTCGTTAATCGAAAAACGGGGTAATCCGGCATGCCGGCCTAGCTCTCGCTGCGTCCGCTGTTGCCCGTGTAAGGCCTTGGCGATGATCACTTAACTACTCCGTATGCTGAATCGCATTCATTGCGAAGAGTCATTTCAACAATGCCTGACATTGTACACCCCCCGGTGCAATTGCATAAGCTTGAGAAGCTGCGTCGTGTTGGCGAGTGGCCTCGGTATCCCACAAAATTGACATTACAAGCTGACTGCTCGCAGGTCTACTGGAGAAATATTCCACGACTCGTCATCACCTAGGGTTCTATCACAATGTTTCTGTTTCGGCGGCATATACGCTTCCACAGTCCCCCGAATACCCGCTGAAAGATTGTATCTATCATGCGTCCAGGACACTGATCAGCGAGCACCCTGCGCTATCCGCAGTTCCCGTGGATGAGGACACCAGCAAACCGTACTTCGTCCGCCTGCCTGAAATCGATTTGGCCAAGTCAATTTTCTTCGACGATTGGGGCTGCAGTTTCGCTCCAGATGGTGACAATCAGGATGGAGAGTTTCCCGTCGAGTCGTGGGATCATAAATTAGAACAATTCTTACAATCGCAGCACGACACTCCTTTTACACCAGGACTGCCGTTCTGGAGGCTGTATATCCTAGCTGATTATCATGACGAACGGCACTTTGTGGCTGTGTTCGTCTATCATCATGGAATTGGAGACGGGTCATCTGGAAAGGCCTTTCATGCAACCTTGCTCCGGGCACTAGCAGATGCTCCCTCTTGGGGATCAAAGGATCCAGAACTGGTCGTGAAGCCACCCGAAATGCCACTTCTTCCTGCCCTTGAATCACTTCATCCGCTCCCGTACTCCCTTCCCTTCCTTCTAAAAGCAGGATTGGACGCCAAACTCCCGTGTAGGCGTGACCCTCGATTATGGACAGGCGGGAAAATAAGACTTCCGCTGAGGACTAAAGTGCGCATGATGACCGTTTCAGAGTCGACAACCACAATACTGAAGCAGCTCTGTCGAGAACACGGCACAACGATCACTGCAGCGCTTCAGACCCTTCTCGCGAGTGCTTTATTCGCCTACCTGCCAAGGGCATATACAAAGCTGCACTGCGCAGGTGCCGTATCCGCCAGGCGATGGCTCCCAAGAGATGTTGTCACAGACAACTCGATGGGTGTCTGGGTGCTGGATTTCTCAGAAATGTATACACGCGCGGCCGTCACCCAATCAGGATCGGACTTTCCCTGGAACGAAGTACAACGGTCAAGGAAGAACATCGAACACTTCCTCCGCCGCCGGGGTAAAAATTCTCAGGTCGCCCTTTTGAGATATGTCAGCAACTATCACCGGGATTTATGTACCAGTATGATCGGGAAGGACAGGGATGCGAGTTTTGAAGTGTCTAACCTTGGCTGCTTTAGACCTACTTCATCACCTCAAGGTCTGAAACTAGACGAAAATAAATCGACTGACGATAAAGTATGCGAGATGAATGGACCTCGGATTGGCAAGATGGTATTCAGCCAATGTGCAAACGTGGCAGCTTGCGCGGTGAATCTTTCTGTTATCAGCGGCGGAGATGGTCGCTTGGTTCTCGTGTTCTGTTGGCAAGAGAGCATCGTGGAGCCAGAATTGATGGCGTCTGTAGTAGAACAGATGCAGAAAGATATCAGCAGGCTCGTCAAAGACGCTCATTAGAACCTATATGTAGCAAACAACAGTCCAGCCCAAGCCTACCAATAGAGAATATCCAGTTTTCATCGTTTTGAGCTTACGAAATCTTACTTCCGGTGCTCCACGTGTATCGTTTGAATAGCTTGATATGATATTGTATTTTAGCTATTCGAATTATTATGTAACTAAGATGTGCAAACTGGCAGAATCCAATCCAAAGAATATGTGGATATGGGAGCTGCATTGAGATCAACTTTTGAAAACCCATATGAGAGAAAAGCATACAATCCTTTATGGCCCCAAAAAAGATCAGAAAGACGCCAACCAAACGCCACCATTTGGAAAGTGCCGGTATCATTTCATCATTGACCTGGAAAAGAAATAATAGCTTAACGTCGCTGCGTTTTGCCGACAGTACGTTTACCGGAAAACTACACAAAAAAGGGAGTATATAGTTAGTAGAAGCACCAGAAAGAGCAACTCATGAAAGGAGAACAAAACATACCAAATGTTTCGGCAGAGAAGCAACAGTATGACGATCAGCTTCTCCTTGTCTCGCCATCCGATTCATCTTCTTCTGGCCCAATTTCGTTAACCGCTCTGCCTTCGATCTAGCCGTAGTGCTAGTGACACCATCCACAAGACGATTGGTGGCCGCTTGGCTGCGGGCTCGACTCTTTGCTCTTTGCAGGGCAGCCTGGCGAGGATCATCCGCTGTATCGATGTCCATCGCGTCTTCATTGAAGTCAGCCTCGCTGCGGGTTGTAGTACGACCACGAGGCTGTTCCCGCGCACGAGCGGATGATGCAGTAGCGTCGTAGCCGATCGAATCGAGATGAGCTTCCATTTCGGACAACTTCTTGGCCTTGGCGCTTCGGGGGATGAGCGCACGGTTTTTGAGAGATTTTCGCATTTTGGCATCGTTGCGCAAAAGTACTCTCTTCTCTCGGATTAGATCGGCCTTCATACGGATCTCCGCATCCTCCGCCTCTTCGATACTCTCATCTGAATCGTAGTATCCTTCTGCCTCCAATTTCTCCTCCTCTTCCTCCAGCTGTCGGAGTTTCTCTTCGATATCAGGGTCCACAAAGTCATAGATGTTCTTTCCGTTCCACACTTCTGGAATCTTGTCGTGGTTCCAGTCGCTGTCGGCAAGTGTGTAATTCTTCTTCAAGTCAACGTTATACACACCAGCACCACCGTTCTCAACCTCGATATCCCGTTCAAGTTTCCGTCTTTCTGGGTCATTTTTATCGTATTTCTTGAGGTTCTGGACAGCGTCTGGGATAAATGTCTCGCGAACGCCGCCCAAAGGCTGAGCAACGTGAATGCGCGCCAGAACATCACCAAGTCTCCCACTTGGTGTACCGGAGCCGTTAGTCCCCGTCTTCAGCTTCTGCGCCACCCTTTCAGCAATCAACCTGTCACACGCAGCGTTTTTGACTGCCGTTACACCCTCTGTAGTAGTGCATGAGAGCTGAAGCATCTCAACACCGCTGATCGTCAGCAGCTTGTCCAGCTCTTCCTTAGTTGCCGGATCCAGATCCTCAGGCCGCATCACATCGATCTTGTTCACGACGATGAAAACCAGTTTATTCGAGAACAACGGTTTAATGCTGTTGAATAGCTTAATCTGGTCAGACACCGAATATCCACACTGCTCGGACAAATCCATAAAGTAGAGGATCGCAGATCTCAAGTGCGCAATGGCCGTGATCGACTGCATCTCGATGGTATTCATTTCTTCGAGAGGGTGATCTAAGATACCGGGGGTGTCGATCGCCTGGAATCGAAGATACTTATAATCAAAATGGCCGACAAACAAGCTCTTGGTTGTGAAGGCGTACGGCTGTACATCGACGTCCGCCCTTGTGATGCTCTTCAGGAAACTCGACTTCCCGACGTTGGGATATCCGCAGATAAGAAGCGTCCTGGTATTGGGATCGATTGATGGTAAACGACCAAGATGCTGTCGCACTTGTTCCAAGTACAGCAGTGGGTCCTTCAACCTCTTGCAGATGGTGGCCATGCGGCCTAAGGCAGCTCGCTTCAGCTGCTTGCACTGGAACAAAGACTGGGCATATTTGATGAGGCGGACGTAATCTCGAGAGACAGTTTCTACCAAACGCTTCGCCGTCGACAGCTGGCCGAGCGCAATTCTAAAATGATCCGCATCGTAAAGAGTGTTCAACAGATCCTTATCTGTGCGCAAACAAAGTGCAAATCAGCGAAACTGCAAATTGTCAAGGCATCTTTTTGCAAACACCCTCGCATCAAGATTCGACCACCACTTACGGAAGGGGTGAATATCCTGCAACCTCGGAAATCCATCCAAAATAGCCTGGAACTTCTCGCAAAATGTCTCTTGGGTATATTTAACCTTTCGGGTGTAGAATGCTGTCGTTCAACCATCACATCAGCAGCTATACCAATTGCGCATGCAAAAACCTTTTCCAGAGCCTCTTCTTCCAAAACCACCGGTATCATCCGAAAGAGCAACCATACCTCTAATACGACTAATCTTGAACCCTGCCCTGATCTGCGTCGGCAGTCGTCTCTGTGTTCTACTAAGGACGATGTCGAGAAACTCCTGGCTTGTAGGCACAGGTTGGATCTAGAAGTAAATCTCATTAGACGAAACGACTCTACAACGAAGTAAGCAGAGTCGGTACTTACATCCTTCCACGTCGTCTTCATGATGGCCGAAGAACGCTCTCTCTGTGTCTCTCCCGCCGAGTCGATGTCTGGCTGCGCTCGATCTCCTCCGGCCAGCAAATTTGATAAATTTGTTGTGGTCTTGGTGCAGCTCCCGATATAGTAGTTTTTCACGAGATAAGGATTTGCCAAGAGGCAACTTTACACGGAGAGCTTAGTCATGTTTCTGCCAAGCTGGGCGTATCTCGTCCTCCGTAGCCAGCTTATTTAATTAGTTTTCATCAATGCGCGATGCACGCGCCGTAGCATTATCAGGGCAGCAACACGTTCGGAGACTCGAAATAGTAACAGGTGGGGTTCGAGATTCATTTGCTTATATTAATACAACTTTTTACCCGTTGCAGAGCTACCTGTAATAGTTAAGCTAAGTTCATGGTTACCATTATCGCCAAATTTACCCTTCCACCTTCTCCCATCTCCCAACACCGTTTTGTCGTCATTAAAACTTTGAAGTTGATAATCGAGGAAAGGGTATGTATGTATGTACAGATGATACAACCACTGGCAAGGGCCGTACCGCAGCAAAGCTTAAGATGAGCAATTAAAATCCTCGGGCTTTCCACATGCAGACGTTAAAACTCAAGAATCTATTTCCAAAGCCTGGTCAGCAACGAGACCTATTCCACGAAGCCCAGCGCGAACTCATGATTCGCAACCTACCAAACTGTGCCAACCACCACCTCCAAATGTACACTCGCTCGGTCCACAGTTCTTAAAGCCCAGGCTCGTGTAAAAGGGAACTAAGTGGTCATGCGAGAGTAGAGCGATTCGGTCGGCAATTTTTGCATCCCTAATCCGCTGAATGTATGCTTTCATCAATGTTTTGCCGAGGCCTTTCCCCTGATGCTCTGGAACCACAGCAAGTGAGTGGATCGCGATTGTTGATCCTTGATCTTGGTGGCCCAAAGGCTCAACGCCAGATGCATTGGGAAGAGTCGATGACCTATGTCGCCAATTTTCTGGGAGTTCCATCGAAGCGTCAGTTACGGCCGGCGCCGGAGTTCTTGTAGCAAGAATATGGGCAACGAGGGTAGCTTTAGGACTCTCCTGATGGGGCGCGATTCGCGGGCGCGAAAAGACTCCAAGCGAGAGTTCGGGACACTTAGTGAGACGATAAAGGATCTGATTATTTGTTAGAGCTGTCAACATCAAATCGTTCAAATGCCATTGCTTCGGGCCGAATGGCAACCTAAACCCCTGACGGAGAGGCCATGGGTCCTTCGAACTACTGCTGATCTCCGCAAGGAGAAAATGCGTCAAAGCATGGTAGAAGAAGCAGGAAAGGCTAGGCGTAGAAGAATAAACTCCTAAGAATGGGCCGTGCACCCAACTATCCGGGATCAGGTACTGCTACCTACCTTCTCTCTCGAGCACCTTTCATTTTCCGGAAAGGCCGATTCAACTTGCACGCACTCATCTGCATTTGATACCGACAGTATCTGCACGAACGGATGAAGTTCATCGAGCTGCGTTGGCTTTGGAAGAGTCGGCTGACGGAAATACCAGGTGGAATCCGCAACGTCGTCATGGTCTACAGCCACGAAGTCATCGTCATCAGCTTCAAATACTCCATCAGTATGACCCGCGGTATGATTCATGAGTCCATCAGCCTGGGCAATGGCGGAACGCTCCTCAAGCCTTGATTGCTGGATTGGTATCGGCTGCACTGAGACAGAGGTTGAGCTTGCACTGGGAATTATACGGCTTTGAGGAGGAGAAGATCCAACTTCGGGTTCAATATGAACATCAGCCATAGGAGAGGTGCCCGTCGCCATGTTTGCGCTATGGAAAAGGACCTCGTTGATCGACACTCGAGATGACAGAAGCCAAGGACTTTCAATTATTCAGCGAGAAGGTAAAGTATTGGAGACAAGGTGCCACGGGGCAAGAGAAGAACGGACGACTATATAAAATGGGAATGTTAGCAAGACTCGAGAGAGTCAAGGGAGCAGATCTCATGCCAGCGACGCGACCTGATGCGGGGTGTTCCTTTTGGCCAAAAAAGGAGCATGTAACTAGCAAGTGAAGAAACGAGACGTATGTCAAACAGAGGGCAAAGGGGGATCGATTCAACGCTCAGGAACGTCCAGTGATATACATACATCTTGCCAGCCACTCTTGTCGCGCAGTGCCAGTAGCTCTTGGTTTCAAACTCCCGTTAGTGCGGCTGGTTGGCTGTGCGGTGCGGAGGATTGATTGCTGATGACGTCGGCGAGCGCTTGTCCGGAGGCCAATGAGACGCAGTAGTGTAAGCGAAGGTTCTTCGATCAAACAGCGCACACAATCGGTCGAACGAGAACGAGACTGCTCTCTGATAGGGAGTAGGGTAGCGTTCAACCACGTCTGCTCGATCCAGCTTGGGCAGCTGGCTGGGCGTGGGAGAAACTGGCCTGTGTCTCTGGACTGCGGGGTTTCGTCGCTGCCACTTCCCCTGGTTAGTGCGCAAGCCAGCCAACTAACTACGTAACCAACTGACTGGTCTAGTTGTACCCTGTGCTCTCTAGTTAACCACCTCGCCTTTTGCTGGCGGAGCACACTCTATGGCAGACACCTAGAGTCATCCCACCATATGCCGGGTATTAAATGAGAAACACGAGATGCAGCCGGTTGCCACACAGTATTTGTTGCCAACAGGCCCGATGAAGATCGTGAAGATTTTCAGAGGCCGGTCTTGGCGTGTCGGCTTTTTTATAACTACTTTATTCTGTACATACATACATACATAGGCTTAGATCCGAAGTATTTCTGACACATGGCCGGCAATTCACAGGTTGCTCTCAAAGCAGCGTCGGAGAGCTAACTGAGATTCATTCAAGGACTAGCTTGTACGATGTAAACGCTTCGACTCCTACGGCCCACATCTCCAGCAGTGGTAAGATTCTACTGAAGCGGGAACTGTAGGACGCGGAGCAGATATCCGAAGTCACCCATATCATGCAGTATATCGAAAGGAGCTCCGTGTCATGTTTCAGTCAGTTAGGATGTCTAGGGAAGCGATAAAGCCTTGACTGAGCGATAATATCTACCTCAAAAATTTCCGCCTTCTATTACCCAGTCGAGTTTGATCAATTTCCGGTATAAATTTGGACGTCTTTACGCATTGGACAACAGCAATTTCGGTGTCCTTGAGCTCTTTGAATTTGTGCTATCAAAGGGGGCTGTAAAATGCAAACGCCGATCGCATGAGCTGTATAAATATCCCCGATCAAGCCCCCAGCATCACCTTGGTTACACGAAATATGGGAAGTTCATCACTTCTGATATCCTATTCAGGATAGAGGCATAAAGAGATTTAGGTTTCCGCGCCGCTCTCAAATGACTAGGACTGAGGTCACTGGCTTGGAAGAGACTTGCGAGATGAATGCTACCCATTTTCAAAGGGCTGGTAGTAGGAATTTGCGCCAAGATTATAGAATGGCCTGTGTAACAGGCAGCGAAAAGCAGAAGAGAGAAGCGGGAATGCAACGGGCGGCACAGACAGGGGATGCACGCAAGTCTGGAAAAGAAGAGATTGCCGCTGATAAGCCTGCGACACATTCATCCCATTCTGGAAACCTTCCGGTCGTCTGCGGGAGGAGAGATCACCACGTCACGGCGTGCACAGCAGAACGCTCGTTCCGGCTATTCGCAGCCGACATTTCGTGCTCCAGGCTCCAGTGTAGCGAAGAAGCAGCAGGCCAGGACGAGTTATTATGTAGTGAGGAATTGGGCGTGTAACATGTGGGAATAGATGCAGACGGCGTGCATTTTATCCAGGAGATTGAAGCCAAAGTGGTTGCTTCGAGGCATACGTTAACATACATCAGCAAACAGGAGATCCCGCGGGCCAGTCGAAACGTGTATTCCTCCCGATTCAGGCGCAGCCTCGAGCAATTTTTGCAGGCGCATCAGGTCCAAACCCGTGTGCAATTTTCGATGTCCCCAGAGCAGGGCGTTCCGGTAATCTGCCGCTCCGCAGCGCGATATCGCCAAATACGGTTTAAGGCAGGCCTAAGACCCCTTTATTGGGGTTGGAAACGGGCTGCAATACTCTCGAAATCGCCCAGCTGCCACCAACGGAACCGGGGGCAGTGCGACTTTGGTCCGCACAAACGCCTGCCTGTGCGTTTTAGCCAGCGTAACTCCAAAACAATTGGCTGCTCAACATTATGAACCAGGGATGAATGAGCTGCTTGAAATCACGGGAAACGCATTGGGATGTGACGAGCCGAAAGAACAAGAGTCGGACGGTCTGCATGTTTGAATGTCAACCCTTCTTCTTTAGGTGCGCCGCAGCAGAGAGGACAGAAAGGCGTCCGGACAGTTGAGCGGCAATAAAACGGGGCTTGATCTTCCTTCTTTATCATTCCACTCGATTCTCTCGGTAGATCCTCGTCTGGTCTGTTGAACACGGGAGACTTAGGTAACAGACCGCCGGCCGTTTGTGCGGACACAGACCCATCAAGCTGAATACAAAAAGCTCCCCAAGGCCCCAGGCAAACACAAATTGCGTGGACACCCTCTCATCGGCCCTTGCGACAAACACAGTTGGTGACCTCTATTCTCAAACTCAAGGCTGAACAAATATAAGGATTTAAAAAGGACGACCAGAGGGCATCGATAACTAACCAACTACGGAGGAAACTAGTTAGTCGACCAGCCGCCATCTCCTCTCACGTCATCGCCGAACCGCCGTGTCTAAAATAGTTCCCCACGTCACTCCAACGAACGGTCGATAACCCGAACACACAGTGATTACTAGCAGAAATGTATTTGAGTCTCCATAACCTGACACACTGCGCCTGATATTATTTGCTAACCTAACCTTAACCTGACAGGCGAATTTCCGTCTCCGTCGTGGCCTCCAATGTGGTCGTTGACAATGATCTGATATCCCTCGATGTCGGCGGGGAGATGACCCTCGCCGACCTCAAGGCTGTAATTCAAAGCGACATCAACATTGCGCCGGCCGCCCAGAGCCTCTTCCATAATAACCAACTCCTGACAGATGATTCGAAAACTTTGTCGCAGATTGGGATTGTGCCGGGCGATATGCTCGGGATGCACATTCGGGTACCAGGCCGAGAGCTCGCTGGGTCTCAGGGATCGGCGAACCCTTCCGCACGCACGACGCAAGAATCATTAGCCCGAAGACAACAGGCGCTACCAGACCCCGAGACACTACGGCTGCACATGTTGGGTGACCCGAGAGTGTATGAGACTGTCCGGATGCAAAATCCACAGCTCGCGGCTGCGGCTCGGGACTCTCGTCTATTCAGAGAGGTTCTTTCCGCCCAGCAGCGTGCTGAAGCGGATGCAGAAGCTGCCAAAGAGGCAAAGATAGCCATGTTGAATGCCGATCCGTTCAACCTTGATGCACAACGGGAGATCGAGGACATTATCCGCCAGAATGCTGTCTCAGAGAACCTGCACAACGCAATGGAATTCAGTCCTGAAGGTTTGAAAACTACCACTATTTTTGACTTGAACGAGTCTGACCATCTGTGATCTCAGTATTCGGTCGTGTCACCATGCTCTACATTCCGGCAGAAGTAAACGGTCACAAGGTCAAAGCGTTCGTGGACTCTGGCGCCCAAGTCACGATTATGTCTCCCGAGTGTGCGGCGGCGTGCAACATCATGCACCTAGTCGATCGAAGATACAGTGGAGTCGCCAAAGGAGTTGGCACAGCTAGTATCCTCGGGCGTGTGCATCTCGCACATATTAAAATAGACGACCTCTTCCTCCCATGCTCCTTCACAGTCATGGAGGGAAAGCACATCGATCTTCTCCTCGGCCTGGATATGTTGAAGCGGTATCAAGCATGTATTGATCTGAAAGACAACGTCCTCAGAATCCGTGACCGAAACGTGCCTTTCCTCCACGAAGCAGACCTACCCAAACACCAAGACGAATTCGCGAACGAACCTCTTATCCACGGAAGAGGGGGTGCACTGATTGGCGGACGAACAGGTGCTGTGACACATCCGGCAGGAAATCCCGGCTCCTTGGCGCAGAATGCGCAGACCTTACCGGCGCGAGCGAACCTAGCTGCCCCGGTAGGGACCCCGTCGTCTTCGACAGCACCAGGTCGGAATCCCCATTCACCCTCTCGCTGGCCGGCAGAATCGATTTCCAAAATCACTGATATCGGATTCACGCGAGAACAAGCGATTCAAGCTCTTGATGCTGCCAACGGTGACTTGGAAGGCGCTATCGGATATCTCATCTAAAGCAATTAGAATATCCTTCTTTTCTGCATTCTTGTCTTTTTGAAGAACGTATATTTGCATTCTGATAGCCTTTTTACGCACGAAAATCAAACATGTGCGTCAGGGCAGTCGTTAATTTCGGATATCGTATCTTGTCTAATTGGTTTGTTGTGGCATATCAGGACCACTCGGGGCCGCTTTCATTTCTTCGCCCTCGTCTGAAAATCTGCTTCTCGGCCGTCAGAAAGCATAAGCATACCACGAGGTCCCGAAAGAGGTCAGCATGACGTGTACATGCATACCGAGCAACGACAGGATGAGGACCCTTTTTATTCTTTTCCGCGCCGGGAGGATGGAGATATACTGTATCGAAATGAGCGTCATACTGGTTAATTTGTTATAAAAGGAATTCGGGCTAAGACTTAGTTCATAGGGATGGAATTTTGTTTTTCTTTTTTCTTACTCTTTTTCTTTAATGTACCTTGGGATCATTCATGCTGAACTTTTCTGTATTCTCACAATACTAAGCTTAGGAAGAATATCAACCCTGTCTTACGGCTGATTTTCGGGGTTTTCTGAGAGGA